GTGATGAAGGAGGCTTAATCGAATTTAGATCCAGTCTCCTGGCTACCCATGGTTTTGCTGCTCTTTCTCTGCCATATTTTGACTTTGAAGATCTTCCTAGGGTCTTGAAAGAATTAAAACTTGAGTACTTTGAGGAGGCAGCAAGGTTCCTACGGCGTCACCCAAAGGTGAGTGCAGTGAGAAATCTCTTGGGACTAGGGAGGATTTAGCAGTTATGCCTAAGTGGTGGTGGTGGTGATTTTTTTTTTATATTTGAGTATTAGTTTCTACTGAGCAAGCTTAGGCCCAGTGGTGGTTTACACATATGATTGCGGAAAGTGAATTTCTTCCAGCACAAAGTATCTGTTAAATTTATGCTGGAGCTAGAAGATTGCTGTTCAGTAGGATAGTGAATGCTGGAGTATCCTCCAAACAGGACCAGTGGTGATAAAAATGTTGGGCTTGTTTGGGTTTTTTTCTTACATGAAAGCAATTAGTTTTAAGAGAGGATGATATGACACTGCTCAGTAATAGCTGAAAGAGTTAAGTTGATGATATGGGGTGTTGCTTTCAGTTTTACTTTCCAGGCTAGAAAAAGACCAAGACAAATGCTACTTATCTAATCCTTCAAATGTAATTTGTGAGGTTACCTTATTTTCCTGAGACTTGAGTTTCCTGTTACCTGTTTTAGGAAAATGGGAAAAACTTGCATTAACATATGCAGTAGGGACCAGGTAAGGACTGAGTGATGTGCCTTGTGCCTGTTGGCATTTTTTTGTGGGGTTTGATGTCTCGGTGTCTCTAAAAAATAACACCATAAATGGGAGGAGGAGCGTGAGTCCAGACTGCCACTTTCCAACAGGTTACATCAATAATTAACCTAACCTTTTTTTTTTAATAAAGCAACTCCAAAGTCAATTAATGACTAATCCCATTATAATGTATGCTTCCTTTATTCCTTTCTTCCTCTCTTTTCCACCCCCTATCTTATCTGAAGGTGAAAGGACCAGGAGTTGGAGTGATTGGGACTGGGAAAGGGGCAGAATTAGCACTCTCCATGATCACCTTCCTGCCAGAAGTAGTGGCTGCTGTCTCAATCTCTGGCTGTAGCTCAAACACAGTTGCAGACCTCCATTATGGTGAAATGACTCTGCCCGGGCTGCGTTTTGATATGAAGAAAGTCAGTGTCTCTGACTCTGGTGTATTTGACATTTTTGAAGCTCTGGAAGACCCAACGGATCCTGCTAATTCTCCTAGCGTGATCCCCATTGAAAAAGCAGAAGGTCACTTTCTCTTAGTGGTAGGGGAAGATGATCGGATGTGGAAGAGCTCCTTATATGCTGAGCTGGCAGTCAGGCGTCTACGCCAGCATGGGAAAGAGAACTTTGAACTCCTGAGTTATCCAGGAGCAGGTCACCGAATTGATCCTCCTTCTACTCCATTTTGTCAGGTAGCTATGGATCGTGTTTTGGGGGTGCCTGTTCTGGGGGGTGGAGAGAGCAAAGCACATGCCCATGCACAGGAACACTCCTGGGGAAAGATTCAGGAGTTTCTGCACTTGCATTTGGGATGAACACTTAAGCACATGCAAGCTGTTGCAGATCTGCAAGGACTGAACTTGAGCCACCAAAACGACTGGTGATGACTGGTGAATTGAAGGGATTGACTGAGACAAGCCTTGAAATATGAAAATAACCAAATGACTACTTAGTTACAAGTATAAATCTAAAAAGAAAGGGATTTATTTGGAGCAGTCTAAGTTAATTTAACTAGGTGAACAGAGATGTGAAACAACAAGCAGGCTGCACAATGGTACAAATCTGACAGCTCAAAGTGGTCATGATATGAAGAAACAAGTACCTGAAGAGAGCAGTAGCTACTTCCTTGCTTGCAGTATTTACACCTCACAGAATGTTAACAAGCAGCCTGCACCCTCAGCAGTGACAGACAGGATCACCCCTCGGCAATGACAGATGATAAACGTAGACATCCAAATCATGATAACTCTGACTTTGAGTCCTAAGCTACCTTACCCCAGAATTCTCATATTCACAGCCAGATACACTTCAGAAATATTTTCCATTTACACGAAGCTGGAGAAACCTACTTGAAATGAGGCTTGTATACTTAGCATTGTGGTCTTCTGGTGACAGTCTGTTTCTTTCCAAAAAGAACAATGTGCTGAATGGAAAAATGAAGAGTACTTTTCCTTGTCATCCAAGAAGAATGGCAGTACTAGCACTGTCTTGTATTTGGGATGTACCTGTCTGTTCCTGTAATGTCTTGGATTGCCGTTTGACACTCAGGGTATTAAGATTCTGTTGGATATGTTAGAACATGTCTAAATACAGCCATTAAGTTAGGGATTTTTTACTTGTGGAACTCTTTAGTAGTGATGTCAACAGATGCTGACAGCTGTTCTTAAGGAGGAAGCAGAGCTGGGAGACAGAAAACCTAGCCTGTAGATTTAAATTGACTGTAAAAAGCTGTGGCCTTATGATGGTGATTAAGTCAGAGTCATACCAAACTAACAATGCCCCCCCCAAAAAAGCGCCCAAAGCCAAATCTAGGATAGCTTTTCCATGACTGCCCGAGATTTTTTTTAAAATTTTAATCCAAATTCATTCTTGGCTAGTGCCTTTTTTTCCCCTCACCATTCAGGTAGACAGAAACAACTTATTCCCAAATGAGTTGATCTCTCAAGAGGGTCTTGCTGAAATAGTGTTGGTGCTGAAGGCCTGTTGAACAAAATTTCTCCTTCCAAAGTCATTTTTGTCAGACCAGTTTGAGAGCTGCCCAGGAAGATACAAAACTTGCATTAGTGGTACTCAGTTTTGCTTTGCTCTCAGGGATCTCTCTCCAGTTAACTGTCATTATGCTGCTGGTCAGTCTCAATAGCTTTCTGCAACTCTTATTATTCCTTATCGTTTTATTAAAGTCACATGTTTTTCACACACAATCAATGCCAACTGAACAATTTATCCATCCATTCTTTACAAGAGAAGCTCCATCCTGCAAACTCCACAAAAGATCTCTTCATGCCTGGTCTCTAAACTCCCTCACCAGCTGAACAGGCTTTTGCCAAGTCGTATCTGGTGCCTGAACCTCTGCTAACACAAGCAGCCCCAGAAGTCCAGGACCAGAGCCTGCTGCAGTGTGCTCCTTGGTGTCACCCATATCTGTCAGACTGCCTTTTCTTCCACACTCGTTTCAAGTGGCAACTGTAGGAGAAAGGGTTGTCTGTCGTCTGAAGGTTCCTGCCTCATCCTGTGTCTCTTCAGAAGCCGGAGCCGTTATTAATTATGCAAGAGCAGCACCTCCCCTATCCCTGTTCTGTCACTCTCTCAGTGCCAATACCTGCGTCTCCACACTGCAGTCCTACCTCAACATATGCATCGCAATGCAAGATTGCAATCTGGAGGTTCAGGAAGTAAATGTTAAATTGTAAATAAAAAAACCAAAAACCAGGTAGATTAAGAGGTCTCAGACTTAATTTCTAAAGCACAAGCTTTTAAAACAATTCAGTGTTAAATTTTGTCAGATACATGCAATTTGAAAGAGAAATAAAACACTTCGTTTATTAAAAAGCAAGCACGTGTAACAATTTGATGTTAAGTATTTGTTTGGAAAAGTGAATGATACTTGGCTTTAAAAGGAGGAAAGCTTGTAAAAAAATGTAATTTTACTGCAAAGAGCCTTTTTGTCAATGAGTCAGGGTTTCCTGGACAAAAAAATTAATGGAAGGACCTGTTGAAAACAAGGCATTTTGTGTATATATATTTTGTACATTTACAGTGCTACCTGGGGACCCAAGGGGCATTGCAGCACTCTGCAGAATGTATAGCTATTTCCTGAAGTGTGTAATAAATGGAGTGCCTGATTATGGCCTTAGTTACAGCCACGTTATTTATATTGGTTTACATTCACAGAATTGTTAGGGTTTGAAGAGACCTCTGGACACCACCTAGTCCAATTCTCCTGCTAAGGCAGGGTCACCTAGAGCAAGTTACACAGGAACGTGTCCAGGTGGATTTGGACTGTCTCCAGAGGGAGACTCTACAGTCTCCTTGGGCAGCCTATTCCAGTGCTCTGCTACCCTCAGTGTAAAGAGGTTCTTCTTCACCTTGAGGTGCAGCTTCTCGTGTTTCAGCTTAAGGCCTTTCTCCTTGTCTTGTCACTGGGCACCCCTGAAAAGTCTGGCACCGTCCTCTTGGCACCAGCCTTTGAGATATTTGTATCTGTTGGTGACAGCACTCTGCAGAATGTATAGCTATTTCCTGAAGTGTGTAATAAATGGAGTGCCTGATTATGGCCTTAGTTACAGCCACGTTATTTATATTGGTTTACATTCACAGAATTGTTAGGGTTTGAAGAGACCTCTGGACACCACCTAGTCCAATTCTCCTGCTAAGGCAGGGTCACCTAGAGCAAGTTACACAGGAACGTGTCCAGGTGGATTTGGACTGTCTCCAGAGGGAGACTCTACAGTCTCCTTGGGCAGCCTATTCCAGTGCTCTGCTACCCTCAGTGTAAAGAGGTTCTTCTTCACCTTGAGGTGCAGCTTCTCGTGTTTCAGCTTAAGGCCTTTCTCCTTGTCTTGTCACTGGGCACCCCTGAAAAGTCTGGCACCGTCCTCTTGGCACCAGCCTTTGAGATATTTGTATCTGTTGGTGAACTCTCCTCTTCTGTAGACGAAATAGGCCACGGTCCCGCAGTCTCTCCTCACCAGAGAGACTCCAGACCCCTCATCATCTTTGTGGCTCTCCACTGGCCCCTCTCCAGCAGCTCCTCGTGTACCGAGGAGCCCGGAACCCGCCACAGTAATTCTTTGCCAGGCCAAGCGCCCATCACATTCCATTAAGACGCGTGCTCGGGGGCTGCATGAGCTGCACCGGCCACAGCTGGGGGCCCTCGCAGCTGCCGCTGGGGCTCCCCAGCACCCGAGCCGGGCTCGGGCAAGGCCGCGGCCAGCGCCGCCGGTCCCACAAGGCGCCGCGGGCCGCCGCCGCTGCGCCAGTTCCGGGCGGGGCGTTCCCCGCGCCCGTAGCAACCGCAGCGTTCGCGGTATCCACGGCACCATGGTGAGTCCTGCGGCCGGGGCGGCGCCGGGGCCCGGCGGCGGGGGTCGGAGCGGCCCCCGGGCCGGCGGTGGCGGCGCGGAGCCCTCCGGGGCCGGGCCCCGCCGAGCAGCCTAGGCTCGGCGAGAGCCGACCGGGAGGCAGCGCGGGGCTCGGGGCGGCGGCTGAGGCGGGGGCCGGTGGCCTGCTGCTGTGCCTTGGGAAGGGGGGATTTCGGGGATAAGCGAGGAAAGAGGGGCGTCACAAACTCACAAACCTCCGTTAGTACGTGGTTTTAAGGCGGCAGTATCGGTGAGCACTACAGCGATTAGCTTGGTATCTGTTGCTGTACAATTCCGATTTCATTTCTTTAAAATACAAATAAATGTCTGCAAATGAAGGTGAAGTGTTGCTGTTTTGCTTTTTCCTGGGAGTCTAAATTTTGTAGATACTATGTGTCCAACCGCTGTGTTTTGGGGTTGGGAAATACATCTTTTGTTACAACTATTACTAGTACAGGTGTGGTTATTTTTCCCCTTCAGAGATTCTGTTTCTTGTTCCTGCCATGTTGATGGTGATTCTTCAGGGTGACCACTTGGCATTTTGAATATTTTAAAATAAATTCTTATGACTTTCTTTAGTCTAAATTCCTGTAGGAAATTGTTCAATAAGCAGGTAGAAGAAGATAAGCAGATAAGCTTCTTGGAGGAAATTTCCCTTAAGTAACCCCCCGTGGCAGAAGATACTCTGATTTACCTACAGAAATTTCAAGTGCACCTCAAAGAAAATGAAGTCACTGATAAGTGCACTCCAGATGTCCTGCTGTGCTGATGTCCATGTTTTCATCAAATCAGCAGAGATAAGTGTACAGAGATCAGGGAAGAAGCTGCTCCTTGTGCTCACACAGATCAGTAGCTTGAAAGTTCAGACTGTTTTTAGGCACGATTTTGAAACAGCAGCAGCCACTGATCTTATATATGCATTCAATGTGAGTGACCAAGATCGTGTACCCAAATGCTGTGGTGGGGCTGCCAAAATTATGAAAAAGGCAATGAAGTTTCTGCCCAAAAATCCCCAATTAACTGGAAGCCAGCTGGTTTTGCCTGCACACTGGTAGCTGTTAATTGGCCTGAATGAGGCTGTTGTAGTGGGAACTTAGGGATGTGATCTTCTGAACCAGAGGAGGTCATGCAGATGTTCATCTCTGGCAGACACTGGGGAGCTGCTGCTGGGGCTCAAGTTTGCAGTGGGACTTAGGGCTAGCGACCATGTGGTATGGACCAGATTGAAATGAATGCCTGTCAGTGGGCAGAAACAGCTGCAACAACTGAGGATGTCTAAATGGAGGTGCATGTTGACGTTTGAGATGCATGCTCAGGCTCCCTGGTGTTGCTGGCTCTTAGGCTGTTGCAGGGTGTTTGGTGACTGTGGCCTTTTCTTATATAAAGCTGCCTCAGCTGTTGCCTTTTATTGCTGGGACCAGAGTTTCCTGTGGTCCAGAGTAAAGTACCAACACTAATGCTCTGTGACTGAGGTGGCTGCCTGTAAGATTTTTGGGGGGAGTTAGTTTGTTGTTTTTAACTTCTACAGTGTGGGGGGTTATATATCTGATTACCTGAAAGGCTGTTTTTATCCACTCCCTGCTACACTTAAGAGCAACAGAGATGCCAAAAGAGTCTTCCTGTATTTGTAGAAAGAAGGCTGTTGATCGCTGTTTGTAAAAGATTGATCTCTGAAACCTTTTTAATCCAAAAGATGCCTTGGAATATGTTTAATGTTTAGAGAAGCATTAAACATGTTGTTTATATACTACTGTTTTGGATATCTTTATGTGGTTTCACTGAGACTCTGATGTGAGGTGGAAAAGTAAGAGTTAGTGACAACAGAAAGCTGGTCAGCGGGTCAGTCCTTAAAATGCCTTAAAAAGCAGCTGTCAGGTTTTTCCAAACTGAATAATACATGTTTTCACATTGCATGGTGTAACTCAATGCAAAACCATGGGAAAGAAACCCCAAATATACAGAATCCAAATTGCTCTTGAGTTTTGGCAAGATGTACCTCATTTTTTTCAGTGAATTTTAGGAGGCTGTATCATTTTCTGGTCACAGACTTGCTTTCAGACAGGAAGCTGCTAATGCACAATAGAAAGTGTGAGAGCATTGGACCACAATTTTCAAGGCAGTAACTTCTTATGTCTTTAAATTGATTTTCACCATAAAAGCTAATAAGCAGTGTGCCACGGGGCAGAAAGTAAGATCAAGAAGATAATGTCCTGACATTTAGCCCATTGTTTGCTTCTGAAAATGCAGCAAAGTACCCCAGAAGACAAAATTACTGGACACTGGGGGGTTCCAACTTCTTTGACTTGCCTGACCCAAGATAATACAGGAAAGTGGTGGAAGGGGGGCAAATAAGCAGGATAGGGAGAGGGAAGGAAGAGGAAATAGATTTGCAGAGAACAAGCCACTGAAAAAATTCAATGAATATTCACTTAAGTTTGTTTCACTTTTAGGCAAAAGCAACGACTATCAAAGAAGCTCTAGCCAGATGGGTAAGAACGAGAACAGTGTCTAGCGGCATGAGGTTTGACTGTATTCAGCTAATTTTGTTTTTCAAACATTGAAAGATATATGTTTGCATGAAACATCTGCTTTAAGAAGTTTCACAAAGTAAAATGATGATTACTGTTGTTGTTATATAGTACATTCTGTTGGACTTTCTGTATGTTCCTGTTAAATTTATACAACTGGTAAAGATTAGTCTGTTTTGCCCTCCTGCCTTGTTCTGCTGGATATGCATTGGCCTGAAGTCACAAAGAGATCCAAAGCTGGGGATGTATTATGTTTTAATTATGCTCTGTTCACTTTACCCAAGTGCAGTCTTTCCCACAGAATAAACAAGTGTGAAATTCTCACTGTACTGAATTCAATGAATCTTCCACATTCTTTTGACATATAGTCCCTCATATTGTGCAAAGCTTAACTCAGAATGAGTTTCTTGGGTTTTTTGTCTTCTTAAACTACTCTGTTAATACAGAAGCTCATTTGTCTGGTTGTGGCTGACCTGGTCTTCCAAAAAGCTGTGTGTTGGGAAGGATGGGGATGTAATGCCAAATGATGATGTAGGATGCTCAAAGGTCAGGTTCACTGTCCAGTAAAACCAGTGAGAATCTTTCCCCAATCTCTGAATTTTAGATGAAGGCACAGATGTGCTGTTGGGTGTACATATGCTTTCCTGCTAATTCTGGCCAGCTGCTAGAGCCATGATTTATAAATGTTTTGGCCTCTGGAATATCTGAATGTGATAGCATGGGTAGGTACACTTCAAAGCCAGAAGCTCAAGGTACTAGCCTGTAACTGAAGATTACTTCCATTTTGAGTTTTATCATTGTTTAGTACCTTCAGTATTTCAGGGATTTTCCAGTTATGTTGGTATATCCCACAAACTTCACTGCTGCTCTCCTAGTAAGAACTAGAATGCAACCACTTGCAGACATTAGCATTAGTAGAGGTATGAACTGTGTATAAAAATAGTTTGCTTTTCCTCCCTCACTCTTTCTGCCTTCCAGAACTTCAGTTCCATGTTTTCTATTAACAGATTTATTTTTCATTTGCTCCTCTGTCACGTGTCTCTTGGACAGAATCAGCCTGTGTCAGTGAGTTTCCATTAACATTAGGCATAAAGTGCTGAATTTGCTTTTCTGTTCTGGTTATTAGGGGTGAGTCTAAATCTTCCTTTTACTCTTCCTAATCTGGGTTCCTGTGATTTGTACAATTGCATTTGGTGTTGGGTTGCATTCCAAATGTTTTTCTTCCCTTTGGCATAAGGGTTTACCTATGCCCTACAGTCAGGGTGACATTAGTTAAACCAAAGCAACTTGAAATCAAAGCAGCTTCAACTTGGCAAACGTGTAACCTGTTCTTATAAAAACATGTCTGTTCTACCTATATTTTCTCTGTGGCATATTGTGGCTGTGCAGCTGCTTCCAGAAGTACTTGGCAATCTGGATGAATTGCCTTCCTGAAGGTGCTCACTGTTGTGAGCTCACTGCTGGCCCAGCCTGTGTTGGAAGCTCTCTCCCTTATTTGTTGGTATAAGCTCATACGTTACAAACTGAGTGTAAATACAAACAGATACAGTACTGTTCTAAGAAATGAAAATAGAGGTTTCACATTGATATAGTCACTTTGTTTGAACATGTATCACCATATTCCAGCAAAACATCTGATTATTTGCTAAATCACTAATTTTGAGTAAAAATACTGTCACACTGAATTTGGACAGAAACTGGAATATAAATAAGTGTGCAAGACAACATGATTTTTTAAAATTATATTAAGTTTTCTGAAGTATTTTGGGTGCATAAGAGGAAAAATAATGTTATCAAAACCTGATGTTCTGCTGTGGGATACTGAAAGACTTATGGGATAAGATTAATTTAATTACAAAGTAGCCATATAAACTGAGGCACACTCAGCTACCTCTCTTTTCAGTAGATGCATGAAATGGAGGAGAAAACAGGAATCCTTGTTTTGAAAGTGCCAAGATTTCTCCTTTGTTAATGGACCTCCAGTCCTTGCACTGAACACTGAGTGAACTGACAAAATGGTCCCTTTGTGCTGTCAGGGAGGCAGCTGTCAAAACTGCTGCTACTCTCTAAACGGATACTTGTTCCAAGTGTTTAGTCAGTAATTGCCATCACTTCAGAATTTTGAAAGCTTTAATTGACCATATTTTTTAATAAACCTAAATGCTCAAGTTACGTCCATTTTTCCAAGGCTCTGAATTGTCAGCCTAGGTTGTAAATAGGAAATGTGTCTTTTGGTGTATTCTCTTAAGTGTGGCATCTTCCCCCACTCTTTCTTAATGACTAATTAGAATATATTTTTTTTTAGATTCTTGATGCTGTGAATCTGTTGAAGTTCTCCCCCAAAACACACTCCCCTGTGTTCTGTTTCTGTTGTGAGCCAGGCATGAGTTCTGAGATTTCTGGGTGAAGTGAGAAGGAGACTTTTCTGTCAGAACTTTTAACTCTGCTTCTGCTATAGATTGGCCCTATCTGAGGTTTCTGTGTGTCAGTCTCCATGAAAATTACCTTAATCCAGAATTTTAGCCTTCAATCTATTCTCCATTCCTTATGGCAGATTTATTAAATTGTTCAAGCGTTACACAACTTTTAAAAATTGGCATATGTAATGTATAAGTTATTTTGATATCTTGAAAATAAGCTAGCTTTACCCTTTTTATGCTACACTAGCAGGAATCTTGAAAACAGTACTCAAAATGCTTTCTCCTTCCAGTAGTATATTGGAATTCCTTCTGCAGTATTCACTTTTAGAGTAATTTTTTTAGTGTAGTAGTTTTTGGTAATTGCATGTAGCAGTGAGTCTCTTCCTCACCTTCTCTTTTCTTTAGGAAGAGAAAAGTGGCCAGAAGGCTTCAGAGGCAAAGGAAGTGAAACTGTATGGGCAGGTTCCTCCTGTGGAAAAGATGGATGGCGCTCTCTCCGCTCTTGTTAACTGCGAGTAAGTTCAATTAAAAACATGTTGGAAACAAAATATTCTCCTCTCTTCCTTTCAGTTTTTCTGCTGTCCACTGCAAATATGTGTTTACTGTGTTTAAGTGTGGCCTTCAAAGCAGCAACTTTCTCTTCTTTTTTTCTTAACCGAGCTTCTCTTACTGCACACAATTGCCCTTTTTAATTCAAAGACCCCTGTAACTTAATTCAGAAGGTGTTAGGGTAGATTTGGTATTAATATTTGTCCCCAGAAAAATTATATACTGTTTATCAGTATATAATTATAGATTTGTGTTTGGAGTCTATCAGCGAAATGACACATTTATGATCCACTCCAAAATTCATGGGGAAAAAAGAGGCAATTTGAGCAGGACTTTCAGAAAGAGATTAATTTCAGAAATAAACGCACTTGATAAGGCTAGGCATCAAAAGGTAATCCAGTATTTTGTGTAATTAACTCATGGTACTTTCCCAGAAACTAAATAAAGTTGAATAAATCTTCATGGTTTGAGGATATTTTCAGTCTGTTACACATCCAGTTAGTTTACTGTCTAATGAGACAAGAACATATAATTATTTCTAATGCAGTGGTGTTGGGACATGGAACTCTTCCCTTGTGTAGCGATCCCTTATATATGTGAATTGATTATTCTTTCTTTTAAAGGAAACTATCGCTGTCTACAAACTGCATTGACAGAATTGCCAACTTGAACAACCTAAGTAAGTGACAAGCCAGCTGTCCGTTGTGTTTGTTTTCTAGTTGCCTGGTTAGAAGATATGTCATCATTTGTTACATGTGTCCAGCTTTATTTATACCTGTTATTATCCTTTTTTATTCCCTCCTCATAGAACATTACAAGTGACCTTTAAAATGACCAGTCTTACTGGAGAATGCATGCTGAGCAGCAGTGGTGCATTGCAGCAGGTATCCCTGCACTAGCCTTGAGAGTTGTCTCACAGTGCAACAATCAAAAAATTCCATTCAGTAAGCACTTCAGTACCTTCCCGTGGGCCTTGCTGTGCTATTCAACACCTAATCAGTTCTAGAGTGATGTCAGGACCATTTTCCATGTTCCTGATGGAGACAGTCTGCAGTTCAATGACTCTGGAAATGCATTATTGGTTGCAGTGAGGTTGGAGTGTTGTAGACCTGGATGGACAAGATGTCATTCCACTTTGCAGAGGATTGGATATACTTGGTTTCATTTTGTTCATACTTTATAAATGGATGTGCCACCTGTCTAGAAGTAGAGCTTGTCTTTTTTGGACACCTCTCTTTGAAACTCTTGGGTTACTGACTTTGGAAGAGAAGTCTTAATGGTCTGTCCTCAAGACTTTGACTGTGGCATGAGTCTGGCAAAGAGCTGCAGGTTTTGAAGTGGAGCTTCCAGGCTTTTCTGTTCCTATTAAAATGCCAGCTGGATAGATAAGGAACCTGGATCTCATCCTTTCTAACTGCACACCAAGAGATCTGCCAAAGAGCTTGATGAACTTATTTCTTTGCATAATAAGCTCAGACTTCAAAAGATTTGGAAATACTAGTCAGGGAAAAATATTCCAGTAGTGGTTCCAAATGACTGTTCTTTAATACTTCAATTGAGTAATTATCATGAGAAAAATTAGTTAGGCAGTTATACATAGAAGTGAAACCAATGAAAATGTTTAGTGGTATAAAACATTAAGAGCTGTTAAAGTATCTTAAATATTTATATTAATGTAGATTCAAACATCCAGTCTATACCAAGTATTTGATGCTGAAGCCAGACAAGTTGAATGTCTCCCATCAGGCATCTGTAAGGCAGCTTTATATGGTGCCTGTAGTATAGAAACCAAATTTGCCGTCTTAAAATAAGATCAGAACCACTTTTGCCTGGAGAAGAAGGGATATGAATTATGTAAAATCAAAAGAAGCAAGTCAGCAGTTAGAGTTCAGGTGCAAGGTGAAATAATAATTTTTGTTCAGTATTTATAAAAACCGAATTTCAACTAGGTAACCTATACATGAGCAGCTTTGTATTCATGAGCATATTTCTGAGCTTTCCCCTGCATCAATTCCTGCTGATCTGTTTAGGTCAGGAGGTTTTGTTTCTGTTGGGTCATTCTTTCTTAAGGCAGCCTGTTCAGAGTACAGTTTGTAAGCAGAATATGGCATTTAAAGTGATTTACAGTATCTTCTTATTTTAAAGAAACCCTGTTTATTAATGAGATTTTTTTTTTAATTTATTGCAGAAAATTTGAGGATTCTGTCTTTGGGAAGAAATAACATAAAGAACTTGAATGGATTGGTATGTGCTTTTTAGTATCAATACTTCACTAACAAAATAGAATATGGGGTAATTTCCCTGTGTTCGTACAAGTCTTTGCTGAATTCAATAAAATGAAGTGAATAAAAGGTTAGGCACTAACCTTTTATATTCTCCTTTTGCTATCATCTCTTCACACTCTTACACATTGCTTCTGAATTTTCAGATAGTTGTTCACCTTTTTGGTTCAAATTCTCTTAATGTTTGGAAATTTTTCTACCTTAATTTACTACACTGAAAAATTTTAGGAAGAGAGATTTTCTTGTCTTTAATAAAGATAATCAGAACTTCTATTCTAAAATTGCTGTCTATCTGTAAAGCCATTTAAATTCTTCTGGCTTTACATTAATATTATTCCTGCAGACTTTTTGCATGCAGAATTTTCTACCTGAAGATGCTTAGGCTGTGCTTCTTTACCACAAATATTGGCAGTCCTGTAAAAACACATTTCCTCAGAGTCAGTCCCTTATATGTTAACTGGCACCTGAAACAGTATGGCTTTAGAGTTGATGGTGGCAGGACTGAATCTACCTAGTAGGGGAAAATTAATTGAGGAAAATAATTGGATCAATTTTGTTACATTTTAATTCAGGCCAGAAGAATACTTTTTTCAATCAGTATTTTTAAAATTATTATATAAATTCTTTCTCAAGAGATACTGTTTTGCCTCAAAGCTGTTCTCACCTTCAGAGATGCCATATCTCTTAAGTGTGAAAGGCAGAATTAGTGTGTAATGACTGGTTTAAAAAAAACTCTCTTTTGAGAGAATTAGGAATGTGATTTCTGGCCAGCAGATACAAACATACCAGAATAAATAATGCTCTCACATTGTGTAACATCCCTTCCAAAGGAGTTGTTGAATTGCCTTCTCTTCACGCATGCTTGCAGTGCACAAGTAGGCAGATTTGTCTCCTCTGCCCCTATACCTTAAGAACTACTGCACCCAACTATGTCTTGGTTTATTCTAATATAGTGATTTCTGTCCTCCTTACATGTATTTGCATATATAACTTTGCCTTTTAATTCCCTTGAGCATTTGCCATGCCTAATAATTAGGGACCTGCTTAAAAGGAAATGAAGACCAATATACCTTAGTATTTTCTCACATGACGTTACCTGTAGAAGGTGAAGAAGGAGTATGAATAATAAGGAAGATGTACTTCTGCTTATCTGAGTAGTCCTGTCGTTTTCCAGGAGGCAGTTGCTGAAACTTTAGAGGAGCTGTGGATCTCATACAACTTAATTGAGAAACTGAGGGGTATCCGTGTAATGAAGAAACTGAAGGTTCTTTATATGTCAAATAATTTGGTGAAAGACTGGGGTAAGCCATGCATCTCTACTCTGTAGAGACTTCTGTAGTGTGGTGAATGTATGACTTAAGTCACCAAGTGAAAAATAGTGCTGTATTTCATGGAGCTTTGATTGTAACTGACAAACCTGCAGACATGTGCAAAACCCCTAAACATCCACTCATGCAAGAGAGTAAAAATAGTTAGAGTATTGAATTTAACTTCTAAGTCCAATTACATTTATGCTTTGAATCATCTTTCTCCAACCTCTTTTAAAGCACATCCCTGTTCTTTAACCTGACACCAGTTAGAGCCCAAGCAGTCCCTCTCCTCTTGTATCCTATGCTCTTCGTTTGCACTGAGTGTGAAAGGAATGTGTGGCGCAGATGTACTTTCCACGTTCCACAATCTGGTTGGTGTTTTCACCTTTGTGGTTGCAGCAGAGTTTGTGAGGCTGGCAGAGCTGCCAGTGCTAGAGGAGCTGGTGTTTGTAGGCAATCCACTACAAGAGAAATTTGCTGCTGATCAGAACAGTTGGATTGAAGAAGCAACCAAACGGGTACCCAAGCTGAAAAAGCTGGATGGTGAGTTTGGGGCAAGAGGCAGCTGGGGTGAGTTAAAAGCTTAATATAAAGACAACCACAGGGAAATGAAACATAACCTCAGAGATTCATTTGTGTGCCCATGGTATCAATATTCCTCCCTCCTCTTCAGAGTTATTCAGAAGTAGTTACTGAGATCCTGGCCGCAGTGTCTGATGGATTTTGGAGTGCTAAATCCAAGTGGTCTTGCAACCTACAGTTGGGCAATATTCTGTAGTTACCCAAGTAGTTTTATCAAATACCTAATAGGGAATGTAAAGATTTAGCATTAAATAAGTCAACAAGTAGAATTACAGTGCCAAGTAGAATTACATTTTTCCCAACAAAAGAGGTGACGAGATAATGGAGATAGACAGGGATACGCTCTAGTTTGCTTTTGATGCAAGGGCAAATTTTCAAATCTGCATGCAAATTTCTTAAATGCCTGAATATCCCCCTCCATTACTACAGTAAGCCTCAATTTGTGAGCTGTCTTCTCCTATTTAAGACACTGGTATGAAAAGATATTCAACCATTTAGTGACTAAAAATTAGATCATTTTGAAATCTATTTTTAAATATGTTAATTCCTGTCAATGGAGATATTAGCTGTTCACTATTATCCCCTGTACTAAAACAATGAAGGGGAGAGCAGGAGTGGTAACATAGAGTCAGAATAACAGCAGGGAAGGGAAGGGAAGGGAAGGGATGTCAACAAGAGGAGACAACTTCACTACAGGGAACAGTGGATCGGAAGTCTAATACCAGACACTATCTAAAACCAGATCAACTGCAGTAAAAAAATATTAGAAAGTGGAAGCCTGATGTGAGAATTGCACTGCTAGAAGAATGGCCTGCAGTGGTCCATTTGCTGTTGTAATAGGAAAAGTTTAGAATGTAAAACAAAAAAAAGGAATGGGGCACGTATTTGTGGGCAAAAGTGCCCTTGGCAGTATAAGGTTACACTTACTAACCACATTAAAACTTGGGCATGTATGTCCTGGAAAAGGCAGCACACAAGACTCTTGGTACATCTCCCAGAGACCAAGTGAGGCTGATCTTTGCAGACCATCCTTTAGTACCTTTTTGTTCCCTGTTACCCAAGAAGTTGGGAAAACATCCAACAGAGAAGCTCATAAGTTGAAAGCTTTTCTAGTTAAGACCAGTTGAAGTATGCAGAAGTTCATGTTGGTTAGAAACAGGCAGGAAATACAACTCTTGACTCTTTCCAACAGGACAGATAAGATCATAATTCGTAATTCAGATAAGATTGTAATTTCAGATAGATCATAATGAACTATGTCTTCCTCTTCTTCTTTTCCTATATTTTTTCTCCTAGGTACCTTAGTTGTTAAAGGAGAAGAGGAAGAAGGAGCGGAAGAAGGAGCAGAAGGAGCAGAAGAAGCAGAAGGAGGAAACTGATGACACTTTCTTATTGGGTATTAAATTATTAAAGTAACTCCAGATAGCTTTGCACATAAACTTTTATAAAAGTATTTGAAGAAAATCTCTGAGCAGTTTTTAAAAGACCAGCTTATCTCCACAGTCTCTCACCCAAAGAGTTAGTTACCAAAAATTGCTCACACTGGTTTTGTCAAGCTTATGACACCTTCTGTAGAGACTAGTGGAGCTGAGTTTACCTGCTGTTTGACTAGCAAGAGATCTTTATTTAAATTAATACATAGCTATTTTTAATTCCTGATTAGTGGTGCTTGTTGTTCACTCGTGGGTTATAAAAGAACCATTTTAGCTTATTTGGTACTGCTGGCCAACATTGAATTGGAAACTCTGAGGCCAGAAGAATAATGTTGTGGTTTAGAGATACCTGACGAGCTTTGTTATGCTTAATTTTGTCATGGGACTTTCTCAATATTTTTAATATGTGAGTTTGCCTTTTCATTCCTTGAAGTGTTATGCCAAACAAGCCCAGTAGTTGCATACGCACAAAAAAAGGTATTGGTCTGATGAGCACTTGTTCCTGGCCTCAAGTCTTGAAACGGGCTTCTCACATTGGAACTCAACTGCATTGCTTAGAAGGCCATTTATAACTTATATATTTATTTATTTTTAAGAGGCAATGGGAATTCATTGCATGGTTCCTGTAAGACTAAAATACCTGCTAACTTTGGGTTTTGTGTCTTATTAAGACATTACTTTAGATTGGAATATGTGGCCTATTAGCCTACAGCTGGTTTCTGGCTTTGGATTGGGTCACTGGTGGACATAACCCTTCTCAGCTCTGGAATCTTCCTGTAACTAAGGAGGCTGATAGTAAGAGAGAAACTAACAGCACACAGGGGTGTGGGCTCGAGGACAGAAAATTTTTGATTTTGGGGATACTAATTTTTTGTGAAAGCACAGGTATAAGCACTGAGAGAAAGTATATGTAGTTAGTGGGGACAGTGAGATGAGATGAGATGAGATGAGATGAGATGAGATGAGATGAGATGAGATGAGATGAGATGAGGGCATTGGTAAAAAAAGTATTGAAGAGGTACTGAATGTGCTATATTGCAGGGTAACCAGTTTTAGTAAAGCTTCCTTATGTGGCTATTTCTAGTGAAAAGCATTAAACAATGATGAAGACATACCTGATTCCACTGTGAGATGCCAATAGTGCAGTTTTTCTTCTCTTTGAAGAACAGATGGAGTCACCTGAGTAGATTTTTCTGCAGTTCCTTTTTGGTTTTTTAACAGGCTTTTCTTCTAATTTGTGGTACCATCTTTTTTTTAAATTGAAGTGAAAACAAGTATATTTGCTGGTTCCAGCCCAGGCATAGAAGGGATGGGATCAGAATGCCACTCTTAGTTATTTAATTTATGAAGGTGTGGCAGGAGTTGAAATCTTGGAAGCCAAGTTCAGAGATGAAATGGTAGAATTGGCCCAGACAACAGTGGTACAGATCTCAAGCTCCAGGTATAATTGTAGTAGGCAATTCTCTTATCAGTTTCTAATTGAACACTGTGAAGTAAATGATTACAAGACAATCACAGTTTAGTTTCAATATATTGATTATTGGAGGAATTCTAAAGCATTCTGATTTAAGTTGGCATTTGCTGAAGAGGTTTGAGTTTGATTTGGATCCGTTACTAAAAGTAAGTCAAGAGCACAATGGCAAAAACTGGACATTCTTCACCCAGCACAAACTACTTCCAGGCAGCTGTTCTCTTTACCAGAAACTACTTTCTTAGTTAGCTAGTTCACTGGGTTTAGACAACTTAATTTTTGTTTGTTATTTCTTTAGAAGTATTTTCCTAGCTTTATCATGAGTAAAGGCAGCATTGACCAAGAAGCACCATGGAGAAGTGTCTAGAGTCAGCAGTCATTTCACATGTCTTTTGAAGGCAAGCCACTCTGTTCACTTGCAGCCAACCACTCTTGGCAAGGTGGGTGTGCTTGGGCAGTACAGAGCCTGTGGCACACTTAGGCCCTGCTGGCCCCATCTGCTGGGGGTGCCCACAGCGGATTGGCTGTGCCCTTGACCACGGTAGTCAAAGTGTGGCTCATGTGAGCCAGAGCTTGACTGACTCAAAACTTGCCTTCTGAATGTTCCCAACAAGCAGAAATGCCAAATTCATCTCTGTGTTTGGAGATATTTTCAGACTGGACCACATGGTGCTCTCTTCCTGGCCACAAAGAAAAGTGGTTGAAGCTCTGGACCTGGTCTCTCCCAGCACAGCTGCAAGTGGTGTGTATGGCTGGGTTAGCTCCACACATGACTGTGACAGGAGGAAAAGGGAGTGACAAGCACAGTCCAATGCCAACTAATCCTGCTGGTTGATTCTTTAAATATGGCTTAAGTCTGTACATTCTGAAGGTTACATTAGATACAGCAAATACTCTACACTTTGGCTGTATTGGAGCATTCTGAGAGCAGAATAGAAACTTAGTGTTCTGACTATGTTGTAATGATTGAAGTGAAACACAGATCCCTTGACAAGCTGTGAGGAATAAGAGCAGTTCCTGGCTCTTGTAAGTGATCAGTAGAGGCTACACCTACAGGGATCAGTCCAAAAATATTGTAGGTGGTGGTAGAGCTGGGTGGATTGTGTGGCCCACTGGCACTGGTGCTTTCCATAGATGAAATGACACAAATTCTCCAGCTCTTTGGAGGCTGCATTATAAATACCAACAAAAAATGAAAAAAAAAACATTATTGAAGGAAGGGAGCATCTAGTCTTAGATTATAATTTAAAACCCTTCCGATAAAAAGTATTTGTCAGTCTCATTAAAACAATACAGTAAGAAAAGAATTGACTGTGGCTTTTGTTTATCAGGAGATGCTTTGTCTCAAAGCTGGTAGCTTAACTTTATCTTGCTTTGCCTAATGAGTTGTGATTACTCTCAAGAACAAAACAACCTCCTCAAACTTTTTCTCCTCCAAAGTAAAGTTTCCTTAAATTTTTAAATTTGCACTTTAAAATTAGGCACTGGATGTGATGGAAGACATAGAGAGGTGGTAGAATTCAAACAGCTGTTTTGCAAATTGGTGGTGCTACACAATGTATAAGGTTATACATGTTATGTATAAGGTGACGTGACACCTTGGCCTGTGTGCCCACAGGGACATTAGAGTGAGATGCTGGAAGGCCTGGTTTTTACTTGTGCACTGTGCTGTTCCCTATCACACCACATCCAGTGAAGTAGTAAGTACACTATTATTCACGAATGAAAGAGCACCCATATAAAACATGCAAGCCATGTGGAATTCTGCTTTTCCCAGTGAAGTTACAAAGGACTAGCATCCACTTTATTCCTTAGAGAAACATCCTAAAATTAAATTAGTGGTAGGAACTAACTAGGAACTAACTTTTTTGCTTGCTTGTTGGCACACTCACCTGTCTTCAAAGAGCTGATTGATATATGCAGTGATTATTGAGAACTGATGGAAAAATGACAGAAGAGACCTGAGAACCAGCAGATGACTCAGGTTACACTACAAGTAGGCTCATCTAGAAAAACTTCCAAGTAAAAGAGCACTTTTAACATCCCCTTTGGCAATCTTTTTTATACAGTAATTTTGTAGCATGAAAAGCTGTTAAATTTGCTGTGTTTAAATTATTTAGGCCTATGTTTATAAATGTTATTCTGTGAAACTTGTTACAAAATAATATAACCTTATTTTATACAAATGTCTTTCGCTGATGTGTAATGAAATAGTTCAGCTTGTGAAGAGTATTTGGAAACTAAATTTTGTTCTCATTAAACTTTCCTGGCTGCTCAGGAAGCAATGTATTTAGAGTATGATAGCATGTAAATGCTGTTCCTTATTGCCTCTATATTTTAGAATAGAAAATAACTTAAGGCTTTAAAAATGCTGATATATTGTGATTGTTGTCATCTGATACATAAATATTTTTCAATCTTTTAAGATGTTTGTTGTCAGAATTTGTTCTTAGGTCCTAAGAGAAAAGTCTGATACTGGTATATATGGAAAAATATCCAGGTAAGTAGAGAAATGGCTGATCTTTCTTCAGTACAAAATTACTAATTCACTTTGAATTGAAATTCTATTAACAGTAATGTACAATCAGGTTCATTGAACCCAGACAGGGGAAGGCTGATTCAAAGGCTTCTCTAATAGAGACTTCAGTCTTCAGTAGACCATGTCACTGAAATGTAATTTCAAAACTCTAATATAAAGAAAACTCTTCCTACCCCACAGTCCACAGCAGTTGGTCTCAATAATGACAAGAGCAGCATCCTACAGTGATGGTTGTAATGCTATTTAGAAAGCATACAGGGAGCTACTGCAGAACTCCTCACAGTACCACTAACTCAAAGCTTACTAGTGACTAAAGTGCTTTATAAGGTTTCTTTCAGTAGCTGAAATAACTTCCAGAAGCTTGGGCTTAGATCCAGAAGTTAAAAAAAGATAGAACCCAAACTGCTCAAAGTGTGTGGGTTTTTTGATCATCCAAGGTTTGTTTGCACAGCCTCAGATTTTGTGCAAAGTACTAAACTTCAGCACTTTTGTCAGCTGGCTTTGACAGGGAGGCAAATGCATGGCTTAAAGCCTTAAAGGCCTGGTCTGTTATCTCAAGTGAAGGCTTCAGTATTCCCTGTCTCTTCACACACCAAGCAAAATACTTTTTTCTCTCCAAATGCTATTGCTGATCAACTACCACAAGCACAGGAATAAACTAAAGCAAGGACTTCTACACTGAGCTGAAAAAATTAGTGTTTTCATGTCTTGGGCCCAGTCTTTCTCCTGCCAGCATTGCCAAAAATATTGAAATGAAAAGGTCAGCATAAATTAACAAATGTGCTGCCTTAGATCCTAAGTGCAATCTCACAGGAGACCAGCTGGGCACTAGTACACATTTCTGCCATCTGCTTTATGTAGCATTTGTAGCTTTTAAAGACATCATGCCCACAGGTGTGAGAACACCTGTGTGGCCTAGTTAACTAAAAGGCAAAGTACCAAAACAGAAGGAAGATGTTTTGAGGATAGATGGAACCATATTTAAAATCCACAGCAAGAGATCCAACTGCTGCCAGAAGAAACAAAATACATGCTGTTTAACAAAACCTGTGAAATCCCCCTTCAGATTCAGGTAAAAGATAAGTGCCTTTAAGACGGTATTTACTAAAACTTTTTTCAAACTTTATCACTGAAAAGTGTAATACAATGTGATCTACAGCTGAAGCCATCGCAGAATTCTGATGCAGGCCCATCAGGTACTGAGTTACTCCATGATGTCTTTGCCTTGCCCTTGGTCTTTGTACCTGTTTCAGGTAGTGTCAGAATCCCACTGGCCTTACTTACAGCACAGCAGACCTAGAACTACTCCCCAGGAATTCCTAGCACACTGTCAAGGTTGTTTCTGTGTTTCTGTGAGGGTGCTCAGCTCGGAGGGGAACACACATCCCATCAACACTTCTGCAAAGCAGTGGAGCTGCAGATTTCTCTGGGCTCCTACAGCCGCAGGTGCCAGTTACTTTCTTGGCTGTAAGACATAAAACACACTGCAGGCTTGTGTCTCAGGGGAGGGTGAGAAACAGCCTCTAGGGCTGCTGTGGGAAACACAGGTGAGTACGAAGAGAGAGCAGACCAGCCAGAGGGACTGGGCACACAGGGTCTCGGGACAGCCTCCTGTGCATCACAGCCTGCACACACTCCCGGCCACTCCCTCATACCATCAAGAAACTCAGCTAAGAGACTATTTTTTTTAACCTCATTTAATAAAAGTTTTTTTAGATATATAGAGGATATTAAGTAAATAAGTTACATAGTACATTACAATCACATTTGCAAGATTTCCTTTAGTGTATTAATATTTTATTAAAAAAGCACACAAAAAATAAATTCAGTCCAGTCTATCACAACTGTACAGCAACAGGTAAATATATTTATATATGTACATTTTAAACATGTAACAGTCTTTTAAAAGGTGCCCTAGGCAGCAGACACACCAAAGGAAGTGTCTGCTCACTTGTTAAAATAAAAGTAATATACTTTATTATAAAGCATTTATACAGTAATTACAAAGGCTGACTGCTCCTGTACAGTACACCAAAGCTTTGACTACAAATTTAAAAACAGAACATAAAAAGAATGAACACAAAAAAGTTTATATCAAATCTGAACTACAAGGGGAAAAATACATGTGGAGAAGCTGCAGGAAACTTTTTTAAAATACACAATTACATTTCTATAAAAATATATGTTGTCTTCTAATCTGGAGAAGTTAAGGGTTTTTTCAGGCTCAGCTGTCAATGAAATCTTAGTCTTGGAAAGAAAGATCCTTAGACAGCTTGGGATTTAAAGTTTGTGTCTTCCTAACATATGACACAGGAGAGAAGGAGGGAAAGTAAAGCAACTGAACCCAAGTGACGAATTTACATAGAAACTCACCCCCCCCCCCAGAAATCAAACATTATTTGTAGACTCGCTTCTCTGTCTCTTTAAAGCTTTATAAACTTCCAGACATACATCAGAAGATAAAGCAGGGAGAAAGTTTGTGTGGGAAAATGTGTATTAGAATAAGGTTTCTGGTAAGCATTGGACTAAATGTGCCATTGAATGAAAGCAAGACTCCTATGGCTATAGTCCTTCCTACTCCCATTTCTTTAAAATACAATATGTATATTTAGGAACCTTCTAGTCCACTGCCTGAAAAAGAATTAAGAAGTGTGTAACTGCAGAGAGTGAGAAAGCTCATGTTTGTGATTTAAGAAAAACTTTTTCTGAAAAGTGTTGATTTTAATCTAAGCTTGTTGCAATGATAAAAATAATCAAAAGCCTCAGTTTGATAAATGAGAGTCTTTTTAGTTAAACTGGACTTTATCTACAATGGGTTTAAGCTTTTGAATTTCTATCTTTGCCCTGCCTTTAAGCAGCTATATCCCTACCTGTTTCTAGCCAGCAAAATGCCATGGTCCTGCACAGCTGAGTGAAATGCTGTAGGCCTTCAACTTACAGAGCCAAGTTCACTCTGATACCATCACCTGTATCAGTAAAAGAACAAACATCAAATAAATTAAAATGCAGAGTGGTTCTTGCAGCTAACTGCAAAACACCTGCAGCTATATCAGATATGCATCACAAGTGCATGCATCTATCTAGTAATTACATACACACATAGTCTTACAAAACTCAGATGCTGTCCCATGCAGATCACAAATCTGAAAGACTGAATCTATCTGTGAAGGGCAGGCAGAAGCACAGGCAGAAGTACGTGATCAGGGCAAACGTGACCTGTCACTGCATCTCTGTGATGCCCAGTGCTGGCATCAAGACTCCAGTAGGTAATGATTTGAAATACAGCCATCTGACTGTGGGGTATATGACCACCCAAAGCCCGATCTTGCACTGTAAAAGGCAAATCTATTAGTACACATTTACAGAAACATTCTGTAAATACTGTATTTGTTCCCATTTGTTCTTCAAGTGAAGAGACACCTTGTTCAAATTAATGACTTCCTTCTGCCTGTTCTCTAAATTAGCAGCAAACCCTTACACTAAATGGGGATCAATCAGTAGGCCCTTAAACTATGGGAAATAGTAAGCACAGTTTTAAAACAGACATATCAACAGAACATTGAGAAGAATTTTCTTTGTTTGGGATGGGTTTTTTAAAATCTTAATTGGAATAACACAAACGTAAATTAACACTGTGCTGCAGTAAAAAGCCACTAAAGTTATTTTTCCCCCACAAAGAGTAGGAGCATAGCTCATTCCCGATTAGACAAATTCCATTTAAATGTTTTGTCCACAGAAATTGGGGGTTGGTTGTTTGGGATTTGGTTTTGTTCTTTTTTTAAAAAACAATTATCTGCCAACTTTTGCTAGTAGGCAAGCTCTAATTCAAATGCAGGACCAATTCCAAACTCCTTCTGTAGGCCAGTGAATAGAAGGCTTGATTTGCTTCTCTGTCTTTTAAGATGACACTTGGAGGAGCTGTTTTACTTACTACCACGCCAGAAAAGAAGTCTTCTGGTGGCTACCTGTAGCAGGCCCAGGGACTGCAAGGCCTCCTTGGAGGTCAGCAGTGGTGTGAGCCTCCACTGAGTTATCCTGGCCATGGCACCCCACCGGGCTCAGCCCGGCTGGAACCTGCCGTGATACCTACCAGCAATTTGGAAGTATGCTCAGAAACATTCCGACTTGACTCCACTTACTTAGCACATTTACCTGATTGTGGTCATCCCTGCTGACCCATAGTTGCTATAGAGGTTATCCTCAGAAAAGCCCTTTTCTGATTTTCTTCCAGTAACAGACTGTATCCAGTCTTCCTGTTCTATTCTACTTAAACTGCAGCAGGGTGAGAGAGAAACAACCAGTACTGGAATCAGAACATAATATACACAACATTTTTATGCAAGTAAAGAAAATCTCTGATTTGTTCTAATCAGCACCTCAACAGCTTGTCCTTGAGAAGAGGAAAAATGATATCAGTTTCCTAAAATAGGGAGAATCAGAGAATGATCTGGCCTTTGGAAGACTAATAATGCTTGCAGTTGCTTCACCTACTGTTTCTCCTGACACAGTGTGCTAAAGCTTCTATTCTCTCCAAGGGCTCTAAGATAATGGCAGACAAGCATTTCCCCCAGTTAATGAAAGAAAAAAATATAAAAATCAACACTGAAATCCTTAAGAGGAAGACTGATTTGCTTAATCTTCTTTTTAAAGAAGCAGCTTTTAGTTCGTTGCAGTTTTTGAATTATTTTAACAGTTCACAATGTGTCATGTGCTTCTTGGTTAGTCAACAAGATCCATTCCATGTAGGAACATGGAACAGTCATCCAAATGCTGAAAGGAACCCCAGTTTTGATAGGAATGAAAAATACAATCTTGACAGAAAATTGAACACTTACAGGTGAAACTGTCAACTTTGCAAAGAGTGCAGTCCTTAATGATGTTCCTCCTGATTTTGTAAGAGTAGTAACTGTTTCTGCTATTCAGAAAAAGGATTCTATGCAAAGGCATAGATATATCAAAGCAAACGCTGTACAATACAAAGCCTCCCAAACAAAAGAGTGAAGCCATCATGGTTGCATAAAACTACAGGGCAAGAAGACTGACAGACGACATGCTGGAGTTAAAGCCTCTTTCTATAGTTAACCAGGAATTTATCTAGCAGCTGGAAGGGTCAAGATTTAAATTTAAAAAATCTGCCAGTCAGGCACACTCAGTAGTTCATGTACAACAACATCTCCTGGATCCCTGCTGGGGAAGACAAGGGCAATCAGCTCCTTCAGTATTGTCTGGTCTGACACAGTGCCAGCACCCGAGAAGATGGAGATCAGTGCTGCTCCTAAGCAGTGGATGGAGGGAGGAAGCTGGGCAGCCAGGCTACAGGATGGCACCAGCTGGCCATGAAGCACAAGTGATTCTCTGCATCCTTACAAAATAATGATTAATGTGGGCTATAAAGATGTATGGAACAATCCTGTGCAAATTTAACATCTGTCACCTGGGCCACTTCTTAACTCTCTTTCACGAGCAGGTTTTGGTGACTAGACTTTTTGGGCTACTAGCTTGTGTCAGTTCTGAAGGAATAATCAGCCTTTCAGCAAAGAGAACAGCTCATAGCAGGACAACCCAGCAAGCAGCACTGCCCTGCCACTGGTGTGCAAATAGGTGACAAGCTTCTCCTGTACATACTGTCTGACAGCAACTGCCTGGGAAACTAGGGCCCTGCCATAAAAGCTTGATGATGGCAATTTCAAAGAGTACATGAGGGCTGCTACAAGACAGAAGAGGATATTGAGAGGTAAAAGCATTCACAGAGGGATGACTGCTGGAGATGAGACTCCACTCCTCCCATTTTTGAGTTGCACATAATCTAGCACACAAGAAGATCTGGGTTCATTTTCACTAACAAACTTGCTCCCATTTATATAAATTCAAACCCAGCAATTTTCATTTCAAATTCCACTTGTGAAGCCCAGACTCCTTTAAGTTAATCAAAGGCTGACTATTTTGTTTTCCAAGATGAGCCAACCTGCAAGGCCTGTGGCTACTCTTATCCCACAGGATATTTTTATATCCATTGCTATGTTCTTAATGCCATAAGACAACTGACCTCAGTTTTTCTTTTTAGCTTCCATTTGAAAAATAAAACTTCCTCTCAAAAGGAAGAAGAGTGTCTTGCTCATCCTGCTTTTCATTTTTGTGAAACAGAGGTCAAAAGTGCACACCATCTTTCCACAAAACTTGCTGTCTGCCTGAATAGCTGCTCAGAAAGAAATGCAGGAAAGCATAAAAGGAAGAAGAACTTGCTGAGAAAGGAAACAACTAGAAATCACCAGTGTCACAGTAACTGGATACACTTAGCTCAGAGTAGAGCTTAATTTTCTTGCTCCAGTATGGAAACCTTTATATCCAAGAGTCCTACTACCACGATTCCTGACAAGAACAAAAAGAAAGGTCTGACTGACCTGAGAGAACTTACTTCCACTGCAGGTGACATTGTTCTATGATGTACCTCGGATATCATTATAAATAGAATAGAAATCTTATCAGTCTTAAAAAAAAAAAAAAAAAATCCAAGTTGACACAAATCTTGTTATCCACCATTCTGGTGTGGTCAGTACTGGCAAGGTGAAGTGGAACATGTGGCATGAGGAAATGGCAGCACTGAAACCAAAACCAGATGGTTCGGGTAAGAAAAGTGCAAGCAAAAAAAAGTGAGACCACAGAGAGGGAGGTTGGGTCCAGCCTTGCTACTCCCTCCACTTCTGATCTGCTGCTATATTTCTCCATCTTCATCCGAGCTGGTGCTGCTGCTCCCGCTGCTGCTGCTCCCAGTGTCACTGCTCTCTTCTTGCTGGGCCTGGCTGCGGGCTGCCGCCGCCGCTGCCGCCTCCTTCTCTTGCTGCTTCAGCGCCGCCGCCTTCTTCTCCTGCTCTGCGTGGCTCTTCATGTGAGCACTGCGGCTCTTCACCTTGTAGAACACCCTGAGGAAGGCACACATGGACATTAGCATTGGCCTCTCCTATGGCCTCCTTCAACACTTCTCTGGAAGAGCTTCTGCTGCTCCTGGCCTCAAGTTCGTGAGCTTCAGCTCCAGAACTCCTGCTGGCACTGTGACAGAGCACCTATGGCAAACACTACTTGGCATGTGCTAGCACAAGGTGCAATGCTAGCAGGGGATCCTGAGCTTCATTTCTTACTGTGGCCATTTCTCGTTCAGCTCTGAATTCGGAGGGGCAGTGCTGGTATCTGAATTATGCACGTGCTGCTTAACACAACGTGGCCCTGGTTTTCAGGCATACCCATTTCTGCTGCTACCATACAATAAGCAGGGAGGCAAATGATGGCCCAATGCCACTCCTGAGCCTTGTCCACAGAGCTCAAAATACTTGAGCTTTTTCCTTCTGACTCTACATTTCTGTGATCTGTTCCTCCACACTCCACCATTAACTATTTGGATTTTGCATGAAGCACCACAAGTGATTAAGAAGCCTTGTCTGCTTGTCCTGTTGTTTTAAGAGTAAGCAACTTATGTAGGGAACTGAATTTTCTTGACAGTTTGATTCTGTTGCCAACAGACCTACAAAAATTACTAAAACTGGTGAGGAAATACAAATATATTTGACATCCACCAAAGACAGCTGCAAATGTAACCAGATGAACTATGTGCCTACTGGCATAATAGCTGCTGCTGTAACAATGGCAGTGTCTCGTGTTTCTATACCACTGTTCTTAAGTCTGTACCATGTTCTTTATATGTGATCTAGCAAATACATAAAAACTTGTTATAAAAATGTAAACATTACAGAGGGCCAACACAGCAGCTCCTTGAAATTGCAGCTTAACACCAACTGCTGTACACAGTTGAAATGCAGGTAGTATCTCATGCCATTGCAAGTATTAGTGGGGCAGTAATTCATTAGAACTACTGCCAATGTCTATGGCCTATATAGACAGAAAGCTCATTTGAGAAAAAGCTTCCACAGGAGATGCCCTACTGTGATTCTGTGACTATTGCTGGAAGCAGAATTGGTCTTACCTGCCACATTTTTTACATGGAAATGTGTTTTCTGTGTTTTGTGTTTTACTGGTAGCATCTGGTTTTATCTTCTGTTTCCTCTTCTTCCTCTGCACTGGAGCAGTAATAGGCTTTCGAGGCTTGACTGTTGTCTCCCTTGGCTTCCTCCCAATTCTGCCTGTGACAGTTGCCTCGTGACTCCTCATATTGGTGTCGCTGGCCTTTGCAAAGAGGAGAAGAGTTGAGGCAAAGTGACACTTAAACCCACCATCAGAAGGAAGACAGTGGCTGAGCTGCTGTGCACTCATTCCAGACAAAGGTTTCATTTAATGATAAAATCTTCACACTATTTTAAGGACATTTTCATCATGGCCCTCTGTGTCTGCCAGTCACAAAGAATACATTGCATTTTTCACCTTACACATCCCAGTTCTCCCATCACAGCACACAGTCTGATTGATAGTAACACTGATCTACCTCAGCCCAATCTGAAAAAGATTGCTCCAGAAAAAGTTAGAGATGGAAACTTTTTGGATCTGGAACTGCTCACCTGTTTTCTAAACCATTTGCAGAGTGAAGGTAGCATGCACAACATGCACAATGCAGCACTTACTATTACACCATCCTGTAGTGTCTGTTCATCTTTCAGAGCATCGGCACTCCTCTTTCTGTTATCCAATCCTTCCTCTGCCTCCTCTTCTTCCTCCTCTTCCTCTTCCTCCTCCACATGCCCCTGTTCCTCACTGAAGATGTCCCTTCTGAGAGGAAGAACACGTGCAAACCTATGGGAACTCTTCACCAGAAGATAAAGGAACTGTTAATTTTGATGTCTATAGGTAAATGACATTATGTGACACAGGACACAAATTTGTGAGTCTGGACTTCTGTGGCGAAGCCAGATTGTTTGTGCTTTTGATTTGACCAGTAAGTGAGACAACACACAAGACTTCAAACCACAGCCCAAAAGAGATGAGAGAAATTTAGGAAATTACTTACCTTGATGTCAACTTCAGCTTCATCTTTCATAGATCTGTCATTAGCACCATCAATGTCCCCAAAGATTAAGGTCCCATTCCGACCAATTTTCACCTGTTTCTTGTATGTGTAGTAGAATTCCACACACTGAGCCACTGTTTTGGTTTTTATCTGTTGTTTAAAAAACATAGAAGTCCAATGGATTACATGATTTTAAAAACACTTATAAGTAATTACTAGGGGTGCAATAAATACACTTTTTATTTTCTTTCCTTAGTAGTTTCCATTCCACCACAGCTGCTGTTCAAGCCTCCTTTTCTGTGTCACATTTGCCTGTCTGCCTCATCCCACAACTTATCCTCTACTGCCATTGTTATTCACTGAGAACTAGAGGACAAACTTTCCGAAGAAAAGCTGGTTAATGTAAAGGTGACAGAACCTGGAACTTTGTAAGCTTAATGCACCTCTTAGCCTCTGAAATGTTCCAGTTGAGCTATCAGGCTTGACAGCAGCCTCTCAGTTTTATGGAGGAGCTTTATTTTGCAGCAGCACTTCAGAGAAGACCAGACCAGAATACCAATCCAAAAATGGAAGTGAAGGTTTGCAGCCCCTTCCCGTTTTGGCCACGTGCATTATGTAGGTATATGGTGGTAGACAATGATCAGCACAGACTTGTGACCATCTACATATTCTGCATCAGTGATTTCTCTGAAATGTTTGAAATATATTTTTAACTTCTGAGCTTCTGCAATTTAAATGCCTTTGGGGAATTTATTCAGTAAACAAATTTGCAGTTCCTGGTTTTGCACTCTCCTTCAGTGATTTCCCCCTTGCTGACATGTCATACCTCATCAAAACATGGGAGTGATCATTTTTCTTATTATTGTCACAACACTGGAAAGAGAGATCTAAAGGATGCATCATTCTCATATCCTTCTTTGGTCCTCTCCATCAGTAGCAAAAGATGTGTTTCTTTTTAGTTTTATCAGCAAGCCATTTAAGTTAAACACTGCCAGTGCTCTATAAATGTGCTCTGCAGAGGAGGTACCTGCAGCATGGACTAATGGAAGTAATGCAGTTTAAATACCAGGGTTAAGCAATACAAACATTATTGCTCTAGCTTTCTGGTGAGATTTCGTGCTGTGCTGGATGCTGGCATTTCTCCGAAATCTTTTGAGTGCGGGACCTAATGCTTAAAACTGAGATTTCAGAAAAATCAAGACTGAACTTCCTGTACAAAATGTTCAACAAGCATGTAAAAATGTATCACGTAAAACAAACAAAGTAACTTACAAGCTTTTGGACCAAGAAAAAGTCTTTCTTGTAGATTGCAATGCCTTTGTTGAATAGCTTTTTTTCGGCAACCTTCCACTTGTCTGATCCTGTAGGTAAAAGTAAGTTGTAATGGAAACCCATACAATTTCAAATGTTTACTCTTCTACATACCTTTTCTTCATGTTTGCCTTAAATAAGACTAATACACACATGTGAGGGTGCAGTCTCTCCTCGAGCCTACTACAGCAAAACTGCAGACTGCTGTTAACTCCTCCCTTACTGCTCCACCTTAGCTCTCCTCTCAACACTTCATGTTAGACCAAGTGCTCATCACCACAAGTTAACTCAGCTCAGCTTGCAAAAACCACTCAATTAGATGAACGAAGATGTTGCCCAAGCAAGGTGAAGTGACACACTTCATGGTGACCCAGTCATAAGATTTTATAGTAGGGTAATGGTGGGGCAGAAGAACAGGATCTTCTCTTTCAGCAGCAATCTATACTTGAAGATTTACTACATCTCCAGTATTCCCCAAATATTCCTTACCTCTAATAAACACATTTTTGAATCCCCTCCTTCCTTAAAATATTATTCAAGTAATATTTGCCAACAACTACAGTAGGAATGCGTAATAATGAAGAACTGTATTTTCTATGCTTTATGGCACCAGCTATTAGACATCTCTCTACCACTTTACATCAGATCTTTCAGGTGACTTGGGTCACTCCAGATCACTGAAGTCAGTGTCACACAGCTGATGATTTTCTAATTAGGTGAAAGACAACAAAGGTAGCTTATGGCATTTAAATTTTGCAGAAACACTAACAGGTATCCATCCATAGCTGACTGAGGCTTCTTCATCAAACTTGAAAACTATTCCCCATAAAACCCCTGCTTAACTCCACCCTGGAAACTCACACCAGAGAGGCTAAGATTCCAAGGTTACCACAGCCTTTCTTGCACATACTGGCTATCTTTCTACATTCTCTGTGGCTTAGGACAAGGGATTACCTTCCCTTTTCCCCAAAAAGAAAATCAGAACTCATACCTATTCTAATACAGATGCACATGTTCAGAAGGATGCAATGTTTCTTACATTCAAAGTGTCATAATTTGCATAAGCAAAATTTCTGGCAAGCCATCATTTGAGTTACAAGAGAGGACTTCTCTTTTCATCTTCTTGTAATGTAACAGAGTAAATCCCAAAAAATCAGAAAAGGATAGAAAAATTCCTGTATGATAAGCAGAGAGTTGTTCTGATCAACAAACCTGTGTAGTGATAATCTGCCAAAGGGTGGGTAGGTGGTCGCACTGGCTTCTTCAACAGCAGTTTGGTCAGAGCTCCCTTGGATAAACACAAGTAAAATAATTAATTTAATGTTTGGGGTATTAAAAACAAAGATCAGGCAATTGTTAATCCCCTCTTTTCTGTGGCAAGCTAACAGAAAAGAAACAGAGCACAGTTTACCACTACTTGGGACAACTTTAAAAATCGTATTCTTGACTGCCCATCTAATCTTGGGTACCAGAGGCAAGTGGTACATTCTTGGCACCTCTTCAAATCTGTGAATTGACACAACCACCAGGGTACTGGGAGAGAGCTAATTCCATAGACAAAGACCTTGCATCAGTTCCCTCTCATTAACCAAAGGCCTATTACACACATATCCAAAAATGTTGCCCTAAATGATACCTGTCTTACATATCCAAGTAACTGTAATCTGCTAATCTTACTTGACTAAGCATTATTTCAAAATAAAACAGCAGTCATGTGACTGAAAGATTACACACACAAAACTCCCACCTCTCAAGCTACTTTTTAGTTTTCATTTAAACCAGAAAGCTTTCAAATTTTGTAGGAAGGAGACAAAAGAATCGTGCTTCCACTGGCAGTTTAAACCACCTGAACAATGAGCTCCTGCTGTCAGAGGCAGTCCTGCTCTTCCCTAATGCCAACAGCAGCATTCACAACGATGGGCTGCCAGAAACCAAACACATACACAAAAATTACTTTCTGTTTGATCTCTTCTCTGATGCAAGTCCATGCAGTCCCTTAAGTGTCAGGGGATGGGCCAGGGGATGGGAAACAAGCAGCCAGGCAAAAGTGCGGGATACTCCTGAACAAAGGGCTGATTTATGCCAGGTTAAATCAGTCACAGAACTATAAAAAGGTGACAAAGCCTTGCTGTTTGCTCTGCTCTGCTCTTTGATATTACCTCCCAGGGGTGTCAAAGGGCAATAATGAAAGTGCATCATGTCTTACAATACTGATATAAAATTAGCAGCACAGCTGTTTTACAGACACAGAGAAGTCAAATGGATCTACCAAAACAAAGAGGTGCAAGACACTGCCCTCTGACTCAGCTTTCAGCCCCAGCCTCTTATTTTTCCTTTCCACACAGTAACCTTTCCAGTAAGACAACATCTAAAATTCATTTAGTAGTCTTGGCTCACTTGCCCTGATAGACTGTCAGTGTGTTTGTTAAAAAGCCAAACATGCCCAAGTTGGAAATAGAAAAGATAGTAAATGCACATGGCACTGTACATCAGTCAGAACCCACATTAGGGATGTACAAGGGACACCAAACAATGGGAACCAGAAAGGAATTTGCAAGGCTCTGCTCGCAGGAATGACAGGTTACTTGACCTTCCTTAACATCTTTGACCACATTGAGGTGAACAGCTGGGCAGACTCACCAGAATGCTTCCCTTTTCTTCATGTAAGAAATGCAACGCCAGCTCCTGGTTGGTTCCAGCCCCAGGAAAAATGCTTGAACAGGCAGCAGCTAGCAGGTTTTCCACTATTTCCACAGGAGTACCAAAAAAAATCAGAAAAGAAAATTAAAATGAAGTTTTCTACAGGATTAGCATGATTAATTACCCCTTTTGAAGGAGAAATAATTATAACAAAGTAAAACTCAGAGAAGCTGAATGCCCTTGCAAATTTATCTGGGTCAAATTTGGACCCCAGAACTCATTAGACTACAAGGTCATGCAGCACTATTTACACATGGAATTTCTTGCTCATCTCCTCTCTGCTCTGATGTCTTCCCACCTCCCTTCACCTCAGACATTTCTTGAATCCACTCTTATATTGTGAATTTCCATTTCACAAAATCCTTTTTTCTCTCTCATTCAAAAATATTTCTTCCAAGCTTCCCCACTTCCTTTTCCCTTCAGGATTTACACAGGCCACAACCCATGTGTAACAGAAGCAGTCAGCTCCCCAGGTCTGCTACCAGCCACTACAACTCCTGCTTTCTCATCCTGACTTCAGACTACAACTTGATTTTTTAAAAATACTATTACATCTAGAACATCCCTCAAAAATACAGGAGTTGAGTGTGTGTGGTTTTCAAATGTTAACAAAACCAAGGAAGTTTCACTGAGCAAAAGGTTGCTCTTGGCCTGACAGAAGCAACAGTGTTTTTTCACTAACTACTAGCCTCCCCTTGCCCCATACATGCAATCTGATCAACAAGTTTTGCTCCTAAAATTGTTTTCAAGACCACTCAAACATGTCACTTGAATGGCAGCTCTGAAAGATTTTTGATGATGCCTACAGTAGATATGTGGTTACCCCTACAACCACTGCGACAACTCTGCCCTCTTCAACAGCCTTCCACCTTCTTACCATTCTCTTGGGTGACTTTGTTGGTTTCCAAGTCACCCCATGGCTGCCACACCAGCTCTGCTTTATGTTCATCAGTTTCTGCCAGAGATCTGTCTTGGAGTGATGGGATTTCTGCTTGAAAGCGAGTTCCTACATTTATTCGCCTGCAGAGAAGGAAAAATGTTACAGTCAGGCCATCTTTACAATATCCAGGAAGTCTCCATCTCTGCTAGAAACATAATGAAGAACCAAATGCATATACAAATGCAGGCTCTTGCATGTAACACCAACAGTGTTGTAGGTTACATAAATAATTTGGAAGTTGAGAGGTTTTATATCTATTACCAGTTTCCACTTTTTTATCAGCATAGGTTGAAACTGCATTTAAATGAGCATCCCCTAATAGCTGCTCAAAGAACAGTTATTAGCTTCCAATAATATTCACTTTTTGAGAGGCTGTCATACAGGGTCCTCTTACAGCAAGCTTGCTCCTCAGGCATAAGACAGGTGAGCCTGTTTTAGTATTAACATTTTGTCAGCCAACAACTGAACCAGAGTCTCCAAATGTCCTTTTCAACCTAAACACTGCCATCTGGTCCAACTTCCCACTCAAAGCAGGATCAAAATTTAGTCCTTTATGACCTTGACACAAGCTGGTGTCTTCTAGGTACTCTTTCTAACAACTGAAACCAAAAATATAAAACAGTGAAACCTGTATTGCTCATTTTGTACCAAACCCAAATCCTATCCTTTCATGCCATCTCATGCTTTTACATCTGAATTAGCAGGCAGATTTTTCACTACCTGCAACCCACAGAGCACTTCATTTTTCTTTTAGTCAAGTGACCATCCACAGAGATTCTACTCTGTATTAGCAAACGTGATGTTGTGCACAGAGGTGGGTAAGAACCCCCACTGAAAGACTGTTCCACTATGTACTTAATGCAAAATGTTCCTCATTCAGATGTCAGTCAACCACACTGGTCTCTCTTGATGTAGTGAAGTATAGAGAAAGGAGCTCTTTTTCGGAGAGAGCAGATCAGGCAGTGCCCAGAAGATGATAAAATTCTGGAGTTGCTTCACTAGAAAAAAAGTAAAACTCCCTGTGCCCACAGCAAGGTTTGCTATAATTCTCAAGTCTTGGCTTGGTGCCCCACACCTCACACAATTACCAAAGAGCATAATCTAGTGCAATAAGGAATAATCACAAAACTTCCGAGAAATGCCAACCTCCAGACTTTTCTGGAAATTACACACACATATCTATTATGAAAAGCAGTTTGGAAAAGGAGTGAGGAAGCCTTGAAACAACATGTAACCTGTACAAAAATCCAGAGAGATACTAGCAAGTGCTTCAATATGGTGTTTTGAAGTCCTAAGAGACTGTGTTATCAAACAGGAGGAAATGGGTATGGAAGGAGAAGAAGCAAATATCTTAATTCCCTTTTCCACCCAATTCCTCATTTCGGTATTGTCACGAAACACTTGCATCATAAGATGTCATGTGTTGGAAAAGTCCATGTTCCAAAAAATGACTGACTTCTAACACACATAAAAAGATATTTTGCAAGCTGCTTTTTTTGCATCTATAGCAGATCCGGATGTCCTTAAGGGGAACAGTCCATGTGTAAACAAAGCAATGCAGAAGTTAACTACCCTATACACTTGTTCCAACTTCATCACCCATTCAGCAGTAGCTCCACACAAGTGGGGTGGGATTCCTTCTTGGCTTCCTTCCTTCAGAATCTGTTCGATGCACAGACTGAGGCTAACTTCCTCTCAGCAGGTGATGGCAAGATGACATCACGCATGAATGATGTAAGCAGGGAAGTTTTAGACAGGCTGCCATGTACTACCTGTCTTTTCCCCCAAAAACACTACTTCCAATACCTGTTGAATGTAAAGCAACAGGGACACATTGCACATTTCAAATCCCAGCCATAGGCAGGGATGAACTAAAGCAGCTGAAAATGTTGAATCTCTGATGCCCCTCGCTATAACTGTTTCAGGATCTGGTTCTCAAAAGTAATTTCATTTCAAATGCACACTAAAGTGGAACATGCAAGAACAGAGAACAAAGAACCCCAAGAAAAGATTGAAGCTTGATTTTTAGTATTTTACAGATAGAAAAATCTGTTTATAATGCTATATAATTTTCTGGTTTTTCTTCACCTGTGCTATTCATCTTGGACAGTAAAAGCATAATCCAGACTAAAAATGAAAAGCAAGAGATTTCATGCAAGATTGAGAAGACCTTGCTAAAAAAGCAAATCCAAACAACCACCCTGGTAAACCAGCCCTCCTTTCAGAGCACACTGAGATGGACTGCAGATTAATGCTCATGTGAAGTCTTCTACTCATTGTGATTAGTCTTGCTTACTGTTACGGCATGCAGTTTCACAGAGGAGGAAAGGGTTATGGATTATAATCTGCCTTAGAAGGGATGACTGCTTGATACTGACACTTTGCTGTCACCTGGAAACAGATAAAAAGGTGTTTTTGCAGTAGAAACTGCACTGGGAAATTTAGGAGATTTCGTGTCTCAGGACATAGACTCCTCTGACCTCACTTCTGAGAAAGAAAGAGATAACTGGAAGATATGCAGGGAAAAAATGTGGGCCTTCTTGAAAGTTGCTTTTCATTTTGAAACTGAACTTGGAATATGACATCTCTGGACTAGAAAAAACTAAAAACTACATCTTGTACCTGCAACGCCCAAATAAAACCAGAATTCTACTGCAAGAGTTGACCTGGGCAACCTAAATTTGGTCTGCTCAGAGCAGGGGCTTGGGCCAGATGATCTCTAGAGATCCATTCAAGTTGTATTATTCTTCTGTTCCTTTACTGATGAAGTTTAGATTTCAATACATCAAGAGCTCTTGCCTGTAAGCACCAATGGTGCTCCTAGGATGCCATGGGAGCCGAGTGTGACAACATCTAGAACTGAGGCTGTAAATTGGGAAGGCAGTTCACATTGATGCACCACAGGTGTATTTAAGGCTGCCTACTTTAGCAGTGACCCCAAGACTTTGGTGCAACTGAACTACAAAACCAGTAGGACACAAGGATCTGTGACAACAGCTGCCTATTGTACCATTTCACAAAGAATTAAGCTTCATTACCACATGTCCTATTTCAAATCACTGCAATTAGATAACCTTTTGAGAAGCATTAACAGGAGGCTTGGCAAAACACAAGCAATTAAGACTACTATATTGGGTAATAACAAGTTAGAGTCGACTTCTGACAAGACCAGAAAGCCAATTAAAATTTTTTTTCGTCTAAAAAAAAGTGCTTCCTGCCACATTTTCTTTAAGGAAGACGTGTCTACAGAACTGATCACAACTGTGCTGCCAAACACAGAATGACACCAGATTAATAATTTGTTGTCATTAAAAGTTAAAGCAATTTACTTCCATAAGCATCTGTTCAGTAAGACTTAAGATGACAGTAAGACAAATCTGCACATAACTCCCTTTTGGCAAAAGGAAATGAACAAGCACTACTAAGAGACCATGGTTTGAAATTACCAGCAACATTAATTTGAAAATATGAACATTTTCACACACAACTAAAATCACAACCAACTTTATGTCATTAACTTCAGCAATTTAAGCCAAGAGACACAAGAAAGACAATTGCACCATAGAGAGGTCAAAGATTGAGACCTGCGAGGGACACAAAAAATATCTGTTCAAGAAGTTCCCCTGGATTAATGTGAAATGAACCAACAGGAAAAAGATTAATTAGGCAACTTCCAAAATAAATTTATACAACAATAAATGTGCTTATTTCAATGAATGGGCTTGGTCTAGAGGAGGTTTGCAAAGGTTACAAGAAAAATCTACATTCATTCACAACTGCAACATTTGCTTAGGACAGGCTGCTGTGACAAGTGCAGAAAACTGACCTACAAACAAGAAGGCTGAATGGAAAAAGGGCAAGAAAAAAAATTGCCAGCAAATGCTCCAGTCCATTTTTAAAATACAAACCATTTTGGATAAAAGCAAAAGAAGTGTTGTCTTTACCTGGGGAAAGTTTGAGTCAAGTATCTCAAATGTTATGGGACAAGCTGCACAGTCAGATGCAGAGCCATGTGGATGCCATATGGTTGCTTCCAAGCCATGCATCTCCATGATTAGATTTTGCAGGAGTTAATTAATTAGGTACAGTAATGAACTGGAACTACACTACCTTGCTGTAGCTCTGCAGTACTGAGCTTGAACTGATAAGACTCCCAGAGCATTGGCAAAGGCTGTGCAGAGACATTTGCAGCTCTGCTCAGGTTTAGGAGGACAGACACCAAGCCCAAGCTCACAATTCCAGCTTCACCATCTCCAGACTGTGTTCCCTACTGCTGCTGTGTCCACAAGTTTCCCAGCACACAGCCATCTAAAGACCAACAAGTCTGATTAGCTCAGGGCACACATCCCATATGCCACTGGCTGTAGCGTTTTCAGGCTGAGCTCGCCCAGGGGAGAGCCAAGTGTTCACAGCTTTGCTGCAGCTACAACACACCTGCGACCGATCAGACCAGTCCATGTGAGAGCTAAACCCAGTTTTTCAAGGACATTCTGTCCTTCTTCTAAAGGAGCATCATCCTCCCACCCTAAAACAAGCACACAGCATACAAAGAAGTGCTCATATACAACAACACAGGACAGATTTCCCTTTAGGTAACTAACTGTAATTCAGCCCAGACACAAGTGAGCATCGATAGAAAGCAGTTAGTGTCACCAGAATTACATCTGCCCAAACAAACACTATTTATCATATGGTGTAATTTTTAATGAAGACAACTTGTATTTTAAACCACCAATAAGAATAGTTTTAATGCTTCTAAGAGATACATTGGTCACACAGCGAGCAGCTCGAAGGTTTAGGAGGAAGCAAGGAAGCACTTTTGCTAAGAGACCCTGAATCTACTGTCTACTTACGGTTCAATGCTGACTGGGGTCGCTTCCCCCACTACCGTAAGAATCGGAGGGGTAACTTCAGAACTATCTGCAATGAGAAGAAAGAACTGCTCAGCTTCACACCTGAGATTTACTTTTACAAAGCTTGTGAGTCTAATCAGAGCTGTCCATCTCTGAAAAAAGGTACCCCCAGGCTAAATAAAGGAGTTTCAGATGACCAGGGCCTTCTTCCCCTCAGCTGAAGATACTGTCAGTCTGGGAGAGGAACTGACTTTTCATTCTCAAGCACGTCAGCAGGGGGTGTTGCAGGTTGCTTGTGAACCCATCTTAACATCCATGCCCAAAGGGAGCAACAGTGCATTTTCCCTGTTCCAGCCCCGCAAACAATAAGGAAGAACCTCCAGTTTCACACAAACACACCTTCTATGGGCATGATGTTCTTCCTAATGCTCCACAGTTCCTAATCATAAATTACACTAGAAAGTAAGGTTAAAATGAAACTTACTTGATCTAAGCAGAGTTCTGTGACCACTTTTGGGTGTCATTGGAGGTGCAACTGAATGACCGCTTGAAGAGAGGATAGCGTTAAAATACAGCCCAGATCCTTCTCTCACTGGACTAAGGATTGGGGGAGGAGTGTAAGGAGGTAGCTCAAAGTTCCTGTCTGAAGGATGGTCTGCCAGACGGACAGGTGACCGTAAGTGGCTCTGATATGGAGTAATGTTGGAATAAACAGGTGGTGCAATAAAGGTGCCGGCTTTTGGTGGTATGAAGAGTGGCTCGGGTCTTGGACGCTGCTTTGGTTTTCGGGCAAAGCCCTCTGCTTCATCCTTTGGAACAGGATCTTCATGCTATTAGAAAAAAAAAATTGCATTATTAATTTAATTTGAAACCTCAGGTTGTCTGAAAAACTTCAGTGAGATGACAACATTTTTTCATGGCAGCTTAAAATCTGGATAGGACAGCTGGAGGATGTCTCAACAATTAGCAGAAGGGGAAAGTGAGAGGAAGAACACAGGGAATGGAATGGACTGGACACAGGAACTATTAGGTAGCAGTTCTACCTCATGTGATTATGAAGTTATATTTTACAAGAAATTTATGTACATCTGGTCCAGCCTTCATGGCAGCTTTAAAAGAGAACAAAAAAGCACAGCAGAATCCTGGTACAGATACACCAGAACCCTGATACAGATACACAGTGACACCAAATAGTGGTAAGAGAACAGAAGAAAATGTAACAGTATTTTATTAAATGATCAAGCATTTAAATGCGGAGAAACCTCCCCAGATGTCTGCCATTTCTCTGGTATCTGAACATTCTGTTGTACTTCTGGATAGAAGAGAAGGGAAATAAAAATATCAACCCACCCACTCATCACTACTATGCTGCAGGGGAACAATCAAGTACTGACCTTCAGAACTCAGTAAAAGGTTTCAATTGCATGAGAATAAATCTTCACTTTGGATTTTATTCCCATTGAGAGATATGTGCACTACTTGGAATTTATTGGTATTTATGTACGTATGAAGAAAGCACTCTTGACACAGACAGACTACTATTCTAGTCTTACTGCCCATCTGGCTTTATTCACTGTTTAGTGAATTTAGTGAGGTGCTGCCTGGCTTTACTAGCATTAGCTGTAGGTCATGAGAAGCCAGCAATGCCCAAATATATATCAACACTATGATAAAATCCCCGGACTACATACATTCCAAGTTCAAGCCTTGAGATCAAACTACTGTAATAGAAAAGTTCATGGCTAAAAACTGTGTGATAAAATCTAACAGAAGTGGCTCATCCTTGGTTTCTTGTCCATCCATACCTGACCCGAGGTCTCCATGTTAGTATTACGATTAGATCGCCTCCGAGTGACTATCACAGAAGGTTTCCTTTCACAAGGAGCTCGATCATTTGTTTGCCCTCTCTGGAGCTTTCCATCCTCAGACTTTTCCTTTTCAAGGCTCTGCAAGTCAATTTTTCTCACTGGCACAGACACAGGAATGATAAGAGGCACAAGGCTGTTATCCTCCCGGGCTTTTTTGGGAGCTGGTGAAGAACTGGCGAATTCCACAACACTCTTTGAAGCTGCAGTAGGTCCTGGAGCTGTTACTAGTACACTCTTCTTCTCCTCTGAATTATCCAGCTCCTGAGAAGAAAAATAGATTCCTAAAAATTCAGTATTACTTACGTAATAAATGAGATATCATCTCACTTTCAGTGTATATCAAGTTTCTCAAAGCAATTTGCAAGCTGAAATGGATTTGGAAGCGTTACTGGAGGAAAAAGAATACTTCACCGTGTTACTAAAATTTCATAGAATTACTTGAGGATTGCCTGTAGTCTCAACCGCTAGAACACTTATATAGGTCATTCTTAAGAATTGTTTCACTACCTGTGTTTTAACTTTTTATTTTCTATATGCATTTGTGTCTGCTTTATAACTTTCGACAACAGCTTTTTAGTTTTAGTAACAGTCAAAAGCTGCAGGTTATTAATTTCAAATATTGGATTTCTGCTCCAGGGAAGCCTGAACTGTGACAATATCTTAATTAAATCTCTCATGCACAAAAAAACCCAAACCCAGAGCTAGTTTTTTGCTTCATTTTTTTTCTGACTCTGGAAAACATTAAGCCTTCAAAATAAGCCAGATAACAAGATTGAACACATAAAATCTACTAGATCAAGAAGATCCAAGACTGCCTCCTTTCAAGGCCTTTTGTTAGAGTTAGGCTAAGTTGCACAGAAAGGTTTATTCCATAGCTGACTCTGCAGTTTAGAAGACTGACTGCTTCTTCACAGACACTGCAGATGTATACCTCTACCACACAGTGATGGAACACACAATTGTAAAGTCCCAAGTGGCATCCATTGTCCCAGAATAAGCCTCAGGAGAAATTAATGAGGTCTGAGGACTCGCCTTCACTTCAGGCTGGTGACGGGCTCCTGTACTTTCCCATAAAACTACCAGTTTTGGGTCTGGAGAGCATTCATCATGTTTATAATGCTGACAGACACCACTGGAGTCCACTGACTCTAGATAGTAAGGGGTTCCTGTAAAATTTTGCCACTTCCCTCCACCACTTTCTGGGTACAGCAACATGTAATGACAGTGTGAATGTGCAAACAAGCACCAACTCTGACCAATCTAAAAACCTCAGGTACTTCCTGGGTGCTACACAGACCTCTGCAGGTCAAGAGACCTGAACTAATTTGCTGACTACAAGGAGGAAATTATGGCAGCTCAAAAGTGCCATAGTCACCCAAAAGTGTCACTTTCGTCTGGCTTTATGATTGGTTAACCATGCTCCTTTTATTTTCAAAACTGGGAGGCAATCAGCAAAGGACTCCTCTTCAGAGAGGAGAAGGGAGAGATGACCCTTCCATGATAAAAGAAGAAGAGGAGACCCGAACAGTAGCACAGATAGAGAAAAGGCACCAGTAGAGACTTAATATAAATAGTTGAGACATCCTCAAAAATGTTCTGGTCCACACCACTGCTTTTCTGATCACAGAAGTTCACACATACCTAACGTTTACTAAGAGGCATGACTAATTTTGGAATTAAGCCTTTTGCTTCAGATCCCTAAATAGGTTCTCAGCTGTTTGATTATTCTTAGAGGTAAGCAGAAAGGATGGGACCTGCTAGGGGATTTTCGGCTACCTCAGCATCCCTGTTGCAGAATTTGGGTAGGAGGGCTGCTGGATAACTTCAGCAAGTGCAACATGTGGCACTTCCATTTCGACTCTTGCATAAATACTGAGGTATGAAGTAGTCATCTAGAATCCTCCAGGAAATCCACAGAAAGCCATCAGACATTCTGGCATCGATCCTGTCTATCCCTCAAGCTGTTTCTAAAAAACTTAGAATTCACAGAAAAACCCAACTGCAACAGCTGGAAGAACTGCTCCAAGGCCACATCTGTGATCTGGTAAGAAACCATACCAGCCTTTTAAAAACACCTGCCCAATAGCGCTTTCTGCTATCATTCTGCATCATCTGCATCAAAGACAGGCAGCTTCTGTCTGCAGTCAAACCAAAGCTTGTCCATGAAAGAGTCGAGTCCAGAACTACAATTCTGAAAAAAACCTTTTTTTTTTCCTTTTGTTAGTGGCAGCTGGTGCCCTGCGCTGTGCCAGGGGAAAGCAGCTAGGTAACCAAAACCTGTCTTCCTTCCACAAAGGAACATTTAAATTCAGACACCCTTTAAGATAACCATTCAGATTGGAGAAAAGTTTTCTGTACTTATAGAAGACAACAAGTAACACTGAAACAATTAAACTAAGAGCTGAGAATTTACTGCAGCCCGTAGGCAGCACAAGCTTGCATCACCTGAAAAAAAGGCACAGGCAGCTCTGGTGCATAGCGTCAGTAGTGACACTGCATGTAGACAGATAATGCTGTCCAGAATACTATTTTTGCATAAGGTACACATACCTAGTCTGGGATGTTCAAAAAACTGATTCAAATTATGAATGTGATCTTCTTCAATCAATAATTTTACTCTGTGGCCTTCTACACACTCTTCAGATAACCTATGCAGAGAAGGCTTCTAGGTCGCTTTTAACAGAAAGACACTCAAAAGATGCCCACTCTCATTCAGCAAATATATTTTCTTTTTCTCCCTCACACAATAGGTAACACCTTAAAGATGTAAAATCCATCAGACCTCTGGTAAAAATTTTATCATCTTTCAAAACCTCATCCTGAAACCTGAAGAGATCTAAACATGAAGAGTTTTTCTGCTAGTGCCATTATGCTTGCATAACTGCAAAGAACAAAAGAGCATCTGTCAAAACACTTCTCTGGTCTTTACATTATGAATCAGACTGCAAGCAGACAGGCCTTCAAATGGCCAATTTCTTGCTTCATTTCTCAGGACCTTTTCCTAAATGCTCTATTTGGTTCTTCTTGACACTCTGTTAACGATCCAAGTGCAGTGTAAATTGCAGGCCTTCTGCAATACAACCACACAATGGCTGGCAAAGTATGAGCAAATACACCACGGTACTACGTACCACCAGTTCTTTACCAAACCTGCTGGTTCAGCTGGAGTTAAGAGCAAAAAGGATTGAAAACAGCATCAACCAAGCCACTGTTTTCTGCTATCCAAGAGATGGAGTAGGCTATGGATATTCAGCTCATTGTTTATTAGTTTAGTTCTTTCACTCAAACAACACATTCCTCTAAGGAAGAGATGGGAAAAAACAGTGACAGACCAGGATAAAAAGGATGATGAGAACAAAACAAGGAATAAAATGCCCTTCCCTTTGTTGTCTGACTGGATAGCAACTCAGATATCAAAAGTGTAGGTAAAAGTAGCTCATGTAATGTGTACTTCATCAGCCTTTGGAAACAAAACTTCCAAGGAAAAGTGTGCCTCCTATGAAGCACTCAATAAAAGATTAGGCAAACCACAACTCAAAAACAATCCCTCCAAAAACCCCCACTCAACTCCAAAAATCCCATCACTTGTCTCCCAATAGGTTAATTAATTTTGAACTCTGTCATCTTGCCATATGAAATATATACTGTTCAGTTCAGTCAGATGGGATATCAAACGGCTAGGAGTAGTGAACTACCAAATCAGTCAGCACTAAATTTCTTCCCCATTAAGTGCTATAGGAGGTCTATGGGCAGACAGGTCATTCTACAGCCCTCAGGTCATTCTTAGAAACAGGATGCTGCCTTTGTCATGCCTGGTATAGGTCCTTCATGTAAATGAAGCTTTTTTTGACTTTTAATATTTGAGAAATATTGAACATGTAAATTGCATTATGTAATTTTTAGATAGCACATTTTAGAGACACTTAACTGCTGAAACTGAAAAACTGGCAGGCAAGCCTAACTCTTCTAACAGAAAAGAAAGAGAATGTTTAATTGGTAAAAAGACAACAAGTAAGCTGCTTATACCTGCCTCTCAAAATTCCTGATCACCTTGAGACCTAAGCTGAAAACATCCATATTTTCATGTCATGGGCTAAAATAATGTTTGGTGTTAGTGAAATAAAACTGTCCCTTAGTGGTTTCACTACACTACATTTCTGTTCTCCCACATCTATGAATTACAGTAGCTGAACTTACATGCCTCCACACCAGAGCTGCCCTTGTTGCACACTTCAAGATACCATCCTATCCTGCATATGTACGTAACTTCCTTTCCTTTCAGCCCTATTTTGTAGTGTAAAACATGCTGTATTGGTTAGGGTCTATACCTTACCTTTACATTCTGAAGGGAAGCCAGCTCAACAGCTTTTTGAGCCAAAGTCAGCAAATTGGCTTCTTGAGAAACACGTCGCCTCCTACGGGTACTCTGGATTACACCACCTCTGATATTCTGAAAATCATTAGTTCTCTGACTGTGTTCTTCAGGTGCTGCTGCCTGCTTCTCCTCATCTCTACCATTCTGGGCTGCAGCTTGCCTGTCTGCTTCCATCTGGCATTGCTCACTATTCACCAGGACATCCTTCTGCCCCAGATCCAATCTTTTGGGGTGCAAATAGCTACTTTTACTGTGGGCCAGTGACTCAGGTGTTTGCTGTAACGGGACCTCTTGCTGATGTGTTTGCCAGTGATGCAGAAATAAATTGCTAGGTTGTTCTTCTGCCTGCTTAGAAGTCAACACTTCTCCTGCAGATGTCAGCAGGCCACCTTCTTTGGAGAGTCTCCGTGACCTTCTTGGAAAGGGAATCTGCGTCTGAGGTAGCACAGTCTGTTGGTTCTGCTCTGTTAATGCCTTGAATAGCTCCTGGTTCCTCTCTGATTGCTGAAACTGGTGTGGCATCATGTGATGCTGAGGTGCTGCAGCTGCCACATGAGGCTGTGCTATAGAAGTTGTTTGCTGCAGACCAAAGGCTTGTGTGGCAGCCTGTTGCTGCTGCTGCTGCTGTTGAGGATAGAAATTTTCAAAGAGCTGTAGCTGGGGAAGAGCTTGCTGTTTTTGTTGTGCAGTAAATGCTGGACTGGAAGAAGTTGGGGCTTCTTGAAAGACATGTAACAGCTCAGGAAGACCTTGCTTTTGGCCTTGGTGACCAAATGCAAGTTGGAAAGGCTGCAATGGCAGAGTTTGATTTTGCTGCTGCTGTTTCTGCATTTGATGAAAAGAATTAATTTGAGCTTGTTGTCTAACTAGGGCTTGCTGTTCCAGCTGAGCCTTCTGGGACATCATCTGCTGGACAGCATCTCCATACAAATCCAGCTGTGACACAAACACTCCTTTCTCTTGATTTCTTTTAAGGGCTTCTGGGTGGCCATAGAAGCCTGGGGCGCCAGCGTTGGAGTGAGGTCCTTTTGGATTGCCCCCAAAAACCATACTGTGGTTCCACATTGAAGGTGGAGACTGCCAGTGGCTGTCACCCCTCTCTGGCAACCGGTTTCCCATTAGTGAATTCTGCCATTTGACAGCTGTTACTGACTGGGGCATCATCACTGATTCTCCCCTATCTTGATTGTAAACAGAGTTCATCAAAGCAACATTGTTGGGTGCGCTTGTTAATCCCCCTGGATGAGAAATCTCCATAGTTTGGGAGACTGGTATATTCCCTCCATGACCATAGTACTGTCCTTCCTTAAGCTGCTGCTGTGGTTCTTTTGATGGCACTGCTATGTCCTGCTCATTAAAATAGGCAACTCGTTTCCCAGTCCGTTTGCTTGAAGACTTTTGCTGAGCCTGAAGATTCATGGTTCAGTCTATTCTCCCAGACACGCACAGTATTTATAATCCACCCATCCCTGAGGCTGGGGGAGGAAAGGCACAGCAGTCTTTCTTTTCCATTCAGCTTCAGTAATAAAGGGTAGGAAAGAAGTCCAGATGAAAGTGCATTCACTTCCTTTTTCTTTGTGTGCTTTTCCCACTTCTTTTCACTCTTATACTCTGTGGTTCAGAGGTCAGTAGGGTCCACTTAGTTACAAGTCCTGAAATAGAGAAGCAATTGCAATGAATCATTGACAGACATAACTGGCCTATGAAGCTCATGTGATAAGCAGCAATGTGTATGTCTGTCCCATTTCCCATAGAAATGAAGACCAGGATAACAGATGGAAGAAACAACAGATCTGAGCTGCTAGAAAAATGCAAAACAAAACAATTTAGTTTTACAAAATAGATATCACACTGTACTTGCATGATGCAACTCCCTATTGCACACAGAATTCTGACTAATCACTTAAGCTCATCCTGAAAGTTTTACTCTTACTCTTTACTACCTCTGATCTGGTCAATAACTTCCACATCCTTCTGTAGCCAGAATAATCTGGTTTTAATCTCAACTCAAGACCACAAAACAAAAAACACTCATGGCTTGCCAAAAGACCACATTTCCCAAAGACCTTTAAAAGACACGTGTGTACATAAAGACTGCAGCCAAACATGCAGCAAGATGCTCAATTCAGTATTCTGAAGGAAAAGGGTCAGGCACCAGCCCATCAGTCACACACACACACCACCAATGATTACAGATGCTTTCCAGTCAAGAACTGCCCAGCCAGCATCCAAGCCCTAGGATCCCATCCTAGGGCCAGGGCCTGCTCAACCTGTGGCTCTCTCACAAGTTTTCTTCAACAGCTGAAAGAAACTGCTCCTGCTCAGGTCACACTCACTGAAAGGTAGTTCAGGCAGCTGCTGTTGTAACAGCTGCTGGCAGACATCAGCAAATATCTGTTAGTGTAAAGAGACAAACGAAATAGGAGAAAGCCTTTCCAGAACAGGCACTCTACAACAATTCTACCCTCCTACCCTCTTCTTCCATGAAGAAAAGCCATCCACAAACTCTAGGTGGCTAGCTTGCAGGATTAAGGCTTAATGTGTGAACACATACACTAGTATTTCTATTTGGACCCCTGAAACCTTTTTAGATGTTTAGTTTTAAATTCAATTATATTACCAGATTACCACTATTAATATTCTAGTGTAAGTCTCTATTCATACCCTTTTCTGTGTGCATTCTGTTCCACTTTAAATCCCACTGCCAATATATTCCAGGAAAATTACAGCAAATTGTTAAAAACCTATTCTTATTACATCCCTTCTGTTACATAATCAAGTTTCTCTTGAGCAGAGCAGGTAAGACTAACAAACACATCCCCTCCAATGAAACCTGCAATCTATTTATCCTGCTTTCTAAAATGAAAAATAATAAACCAAAATTATGTAGCACACTGAAGTCCTGTAACCTGAGCTTCCTCAGACGGATCTGGGTACAGTGCAGATTTTAACACTGAGGTGGGGTTGGGAACATGACGAGGAGGAAAGGACAAAGAGTTTTAATTAACTTACGCAACTTCCACCTCAGAGGCCAAGCTTGGCTTCAGTGCTGGAACTGGAACAGTGCAGACTGGAACCATGGGACTGTGTTTCAGAGTGCAGTGACTCACTTCCTCAGGCTGTTACACAGCTGCTCCCCCACACTGCCTCCCCTTCGCCTTTGGCTACAAACCATGGACCTCTGCCACCCTGCATCACACAGCCAGGGCATTCCTCCCTCCTCTAAGCACAACGTCTCAGCTCATTTCCCAAGACTATAACAGGATGAAAATAACTCTAGGAGAAATTATGGACACGTGAGATGGAAAATTCTCTCTAAACTGCAACTAGTACACAAACAAAGATTTCATAAAGTAAGTTTTTCCTAGTTCAAAATTTCACTAGGAGAGGAAAAAACATCTTACAGCAGGAAACTGAATCCCTGATAGCAAAAATGTAGAGGGGGATAAGCTGCTATATGCCTCTCAGAAGCTTTAATGCTATCTATCCTCTCTCCTTGCTTTCTGCAGTACTGCAAATGTATCAGAGATAACAGCTAAACTTCAACACCTGAGGTAATACTACTAAGAGTGATTTCTGACAGTCTTACTTTGTGAAATCATCACAAGCTATTTTTCTCTCCAAACTAGGCAACATGTTCCTTCTACTGATGCTTTTGTAATGCTCAGTCACATCATTCTGATAAAAAGAATGCAAGGTTTTCTGTATTATTAGAAGTTAGAAGACATTAACACCAGATCAAGTTTTAACCTGACAGCTTGCTGAAATTCTGCTGTAGACTTTTCACACCGCAAAGAAAAATACAACAAAAATTGTCAAAAAGATAGCATTCAACTTTCAACTTGAAGGGTTCTTGTTTTCAATGAAAGAAAGAAAGAAGGAAAGAGCCCAGCTGATGCTGTTCCTAATAGTCGTGGCTGGGATTTGCAGCTACCACATTTGCAGCTACCCAGAAGACCTTTAGAAAGAGAACTCTCACATTAGTAAAAAGCATTTAATTAGCACAACTTTCCAAGCCTACACTCGTGTGGACTTTGGTTCTGCTTTTTCTATTACTAGGTAAGAAGACACCAGCATCACAAGGTCTAACTCAGACCAGTTTAGAACTGCAGCAATCTTGGAAAGAGATCTAACAAAACTATTAAGATGCAAATTATAAAAAGGAGTAAGTTTAGAGATAACCTAAATGAGGAAAAGGAATATGTACAATTGAAGTTGTTATTCAGCACAAAACCCAGGATAGTGAAAAGGACACAACCAGGGAGAAAAGAGATTTAAGCTACTTTGAATAAAACATGTTTACTGAACATCCCAGCTCTCCCACTTACATGCAAAAATAACTACATCCTAAGAGATCACCAAGATAAAGGAAGATTTAGTGCATCTGGTATTTGAGAAAGAAAGTATTAAAAAAAGTATAAAAAAGTATAAAAGAAAGTATAAAAAATTTAGAAGTTATTTGCATATAGAAAATCTACAGAAAAGTATCTTCTATGTCATCCTAATAATAACAGTTAATAGTTTAAGCTGCAGTGATAAATGTTCAAGTTGCAGCATGACTATGCTTCAGGAAAGCTCATGCTTGGCAGCTTCACTGCATGAGCACTGTTGGCTGACTAAACAGGCTTCCCTCCCTGAGGTTGGGGGAATGAGCTCACACAATCATCATCCCAGCCAATTACCAGCTTTGGGGTTTTTCTGCTTTGTTTTGTTTTACTTGAATTTCAGCACAAGAGTCAGCCTGCAGTAGCACAGGAAAATGGCAACACGCTTCCAGGCTTAAGTGCTTTGGAGCAGGACACCCTGGACCATTCCTTACCTTTGAATAAAGCACAGAGCCAGTTCCAATACTGTAATTCCCAGAAGATACTGTGTCTTGCCTCCAAATATACAGAATTGTTATGATACTTAGCATTGCTTTTACACTGCACAGAGAAAAAGCAGAACCTAGCATCAGTATATTTTGTTTTAATAACTCTAAGATTTGGCATGCAACATCATCAGTTATTTTCACTTCCAGGAGCTTCTGACATTCAAGAACTTCTCCTGAACCTTCTCCAGATGAATATAAATTGTACATCACCTCCTTTAATACTGTAAATATTTTAATATTTCGAAAGGATTTTTGATATTGCAAGGCTTTCTCTTCCACACCTAAAACGAATTACAAATTAGATATACATATCCAATGGGCACATATGCAGCATCTTCTGGAAGGAAAAATACCTAAGGAAAGTAATTCATGGCACCTTACTGAGAAAAGTTAGAGTTAGCATTTTTAGCTAAAAACTTCTCTAGTGTATCTGCACTAATGCATTAAAAAAAATCATAAATGCATATAAAACACCATATGAGCTAAATTTATGCAAAGAATGCTGAAGAACTTCCTGAAGTATACAACAGGACTATGGAGGAGTCTCTTCCTGCATCCAGGATTCTGCCCTGAAATGATGAAGTCCTTTCAAAGGAGATATCAGAAGGGTGCAGGGCACAGACACTCAGAGCCACTCACTAGGCTGTTACCAGCCAAACCACCCACCAGCAGATTTTACCCAGTTCAAAGCAGAATTATTGAGACATCCCTACCCAGTGCAACTTTCTTGTCAGAGTTTATTATTAGCCTGGAGAGCCTGATATAAAACCTTAACTAAAGATTATTTGATTTAGGGAACAAATAAAAAATACTCAATGGTAACCATTTAATGTAAAATATCTCTATCTCTCTTGAAAACTTGTTCCCTGTGTAACTGGCAATTGTTGCCTGTATAACTGGTAACTATCCACCATTTTTCCATTTCTATAAATATTCTCTTAACTAAGCATATGTATATTTGTACAGTTTCACATATCAAGTTCATGACCTCACACACTGTAGTAATCTTGAACTTTACTCTTCGGCTCACTTTTTGAGGGCTGTGCTGTCCTGTGCTTTGTTTAGTCCATTTGCTGCATCAGCCATAGCTGGCATGATAAGCAAGTTTAAATTGTGCACATTCCTCATTCTCCTTTGAGATCATTTGCAAACATTTCTCTCTGACAGAATGCTGCAGATACGACTCAGGAAAGGCTCTTGATTTCTCCTCAAACTTCAGCAAAATTAAGGATGCTGAGAATACTAACAAGTTATAGTTGCAGTTGTAGACCATCTTTTATTCTACCGTCTTCTCTTTTAAATTCCTCTCTTTTAGGGTTTTATTCATGTAAAATAAAGTGTTCCTCTGATCTAGCTAATGTATATTCTCAGCCTTAACTGCAACAATGCTGTCACTGTTCCTTACAGGAAATCTGTCAGATTAGGGTGATGACAATCATTTCTCACTAAGTCCTCCTGTTGCCAGCAAGTGAAATTATGGTTCTCCCCACTAAGCAGCTCAATCACTTTCAACCAGGATGACGGACAGATTCCAAGAACAATCTTACACTTAAGACAAATGCAGCAAGTTACCCCGTGTCCTTCTGAGACAGAGCAATCAAACCTTCCTTCTCCAATTTGCTCATTATTATGGTAAAATGCCACATTTAAGAAACATGTAAAGAATTATAATACATATTTTAATAATAAGGAATAGAAACAGAGGAAACAACTCACTTCTAAGATCAGGAAAACAAGCAAGGTCAAAAATTAAGCAATATAATAGCTACCAGCTCCCCT